TGGAGGCTGCAGTGAGCTATGATCTTGCCACTGCACTCCAGCCTGGGTGACAGAGCAACATCCTGTCAAAAACAAAACAAAACAAAACAAAAAACCAGAAGAGACTACGTGCAGTGTAATCCCAGCACTTTGGGAGACTGAGCAGGCGGATCACTTGAATCCAGGAGTTTAAGACCAGCCTGTCCAACATGGTGAAACCCCGTCTCTACGTAGAGTATAAAAAATTAACCAGGTGGAGTGGCAGGTGCCGGTAATTCCAACTACTCAGGAGGCTGAGGCAGAAGAATCGCTTGAACCCGAGAGGCAGAGTTTGCAGTGAGCTGAGATCACCCCACTGCACTCCAGCCAGGGTGACCAAGTAAGACCCCATCTTAAAAAAAAAAAAAAAGAAAGAAAAAAAAACGAAAGAAAAAGAACAGCTTTTTCCGGCGGTGACGACCTACCCACACGAGAACATGCCTCTCGCAAAGGATCTCCTTCATCCCTCCCCAAAAGAGAAGAGGAAACACAAGAAGAAACGCCTGGTGCAGAGCCCCAATTCCTACTTCATGGGTGTGAAATGCCCAGGATGCTATAAAGTCACCACGGTCTTTAGCCATGCGCAAACGGTAGTTTTGTGTGTTGGCTGCTCCACTGTCCTCTGCCAGCCTACAGGAGGAAAAGCAAGGCTTACAGAAGGATGTTCCTTTAGGAGGAAGCAGCACTAAAAGCACTCTGAATCAAGATGAGTGGGAAACCATCTCAATAAACACATTTTGGAAAAGAAAGAAAGGAAAGAAAGGAAGGAACGAAGGAAGGAAGGAAGGAAGGACCCCTGTCCAGGTGCCTAGTCTGGGGCTGGAGGGAAGCTGATGCACGCTTGTTCCCATTGTGTGAGGAGGAGCCAGGCAGGGAGTCCCAGTGAGGAAGCCAGGCTTTGGGGTCTGGGTTCAAATCCAGCTTCAGCTCTGTGACCCTCTCTCTTCTTACCGGTTACCGTGGGAAGGAAACGTGGTCCTGAATCCAGTGCACTTGGCATTGCTGGATGGAACAAGGGAGGGTGGCGGTTGCTTGCACAGGCACAGGTTTGGGCATCTGATGGCCCTAGCTTCAGTCCTAGTCCCGCCACGGAGGCAGGGTGAGCTCCTGTCACGGAAGCCTGCAGGAACTCTCAGAACCAGCCCCTGGAGCATGTGCTACCCTCCTTCTCCACGAGGTGGCAGCAGCGGACCCAGCCTCTCGTCTCAGCGGCCACCTCTCCTGGCCTGGCCGGGACACCGCCGCCAAGGCTGAAAGAGAAACCTAGCCCCAAGCTGAGAGTGGAACCCCAGAGCCAGGGTCCTGGGCCTAGAGTCGTCCAGAACTGGGGGCTCAGGTTCTGAAATGCCAGACATTTAGGAGCTGGAGGACTGTCATGCTCTTGCCTGGTGTCTCCAAGAGGTAGGATAGACACCAGATTCAATGGGACCAGGCTCGGTGGCCTCACGCCTGTAATCCCAGCACTTTGGGAGACTGAGGATGGAGGATCGCTTAAGGCCAGGAGTTCAAGACCAGCCTGGGCAACACAGCGAGACCGTCTCTGCAAAAAAAAAAAAAAAAAAAAAAAATTAGCTGGGCGTGGTGGCACGCACCTGGGATTCCAGCTAACTCTGGGGGCTGAGGTGGGAGGATCCTGAGTCTGGGAGGCAGAGGTTGCAGTGAGCTGAGATTGCACCACTGCACTCCAGCCTGGGTGACCAGGTGTGACCCCATCTCAAAATAAATAAATAAATAAATAAATAAAAAGGGGAAAGTAGGTAACCCCTGTCCAGGTGCATAGTCTGGGGCTGGAGGGAAACTGATGCAAGCTTGTTCCCATTGTGTGAGGAGGAGCCAGACAGGGGGTCCCAGCAAGGAAGCCAGGCTTTGGGATCTGAGTTCAAATCCAACTTCACCTCCGGACCGAGTGAGACCCTGTCTCAAGAAAGAAAGAAGAGAGCAAGGAATAGAGACAGAGGGTCAGACAGCAAGAGTCTCAGAGGATGAGACAGACACAGAGGCAAAGGATGCGGGACACGGGTGGGCAGGGTAGGGACAGAGAGACCCCTGCAGAGGCCACGAGGGCAGGGCAGGTGGAATAAGTGACCGAAGACAGGTGGAGGAGTGGACGGCACACGTGTCAGAGGCTGCGGATGGAGAGGGCGCTGAAGGGTGGGAGAAGGAAGGACAGCCAGCCCTGCTCCACCCCAGCCCTGCGGTTCTCATCCCTCCACTGCACAGATGAGGCTCCTGGCGTCAGGGGGTGCAGAGAACAGCTCACAGCACAGGCAGAGGGACCACAGCCCACTCCTGCCCAGCGCCGCTCCTGTGCCCAGCCCTGGGGTGGATACCGTGGCTGCCATCCACATAGATGTGAGGACTGAGTGAGACAGTTCCCTGTGGAGCCCAGGACGCTCTGGCACCTGAGGTCAATAAAGCGACATCGCGCAAGTGGGTGGAGTGCCTTGTGCTATTGACCATTAAACAGCTGCCCAAGGCTATCGAGCTATTCATTAAATATTATTATTGATTTTTTTTTTTTTTAATGGAGTCTCACTGTGTCGCCCAGGCTGGAGTGCAGTGGCGCAATCTCGGCTCACTGCAACCTCCGCCTCCTGGGCTCAAGTGATTCTTCTGCCTAAGCCTCCCGAGTAGCTGGGACTACAGGCACGCACCACCACACCCGGTTAATTTTTGTTTTTTGTTTTGTTTTTGTTTTTTTTTTTGAGACGAGTCTCGCTCTGTCACCCAGGCTGGAGCGCAGTGGCCGGATCTCAGCTCACTGCAAGCTCTGCCTCCCGGGTTTACGCCACTCTCCTGCCTCAGCCTCCCGAGTAGCTGGGACTACAGGCGCCCGCCACCTCGCCCGGCTAGTTTTTTGTATTTTTTTTTAGTAGAGAGGGGGTTTCACCGTGTTAGCCAGGATGGTCTCGATCTCCTGACCTCGTGATCCGCCCGTCTCGGCCTCCCAAAGTGCTGGGATTACAGGCTTGAGCCATCACGCCCGGCCTAATTTTTGTATTTTTAGTAGAGATGGGGTTTCACCACCACGCCCAGCCTATTTATTGTTTTTACAGACAGAGTCTTGCTCTGTCCCCCAGGCTGGAGTGCAGTGGCATGATCATGGCTCACTGCAGCCTCCAACTCTTGGGCTCAAGCAATCCTCCCATTTTGGCCTCCCAAAACACTGGGACTACAGGTGCGTGCCACCACATCCAGCTAATTAAAAAAATTGTTGGCCGGGCGCGGTGGTTCAAGCCTGTAATCCCAGCACTTTGGGAGGCCAAGACGGGCAGATCACGAGGTCAGGAGATCAAGACCATCCTGGCTAACACGGTGAAACCCCCTCTCTACTAAAAAAGACAAAAAACTAGCCGGGCGAGGTGGCGGGCGCCTGTAGTCCCAGCTACTCGGGAGGCTGAGGCAGGAGAACGGCCTAAACCCGGGAGGCGGAGCTTGCAGTGAGCTGAGATTCGGCCACTGCACTCCAGCCTGGGCGACAGAGCTAGACTCCTTCTCAAAAAAAAAAAAAAAAAAAAATTGTTTTAGAGATGGGCTGTCGCTCTGTTGTCCACGCTGGTCTCAAACTCCTGTTCTTAAGCAATCCTCCTGCCTTGGCCTCCAAAAGTGTTGGGATTACAGGTGCAAGCCACCACACCTGGCCTCTATCTCCCTGTATCTTGCTGTCTCCCCCTCTGCGTGTGTCTCTGACAGTCTGTGGCTCTCTTTCTCTCTGTTTATTTCTGTGTGTCTCTCTCTGTGTCTCTTGGTCCATCTCATGCCCAGCTAATTTTTAAATTTTTTGTAGAGATGGGGTTTCACCATGTTGGCCAGGCTGGTCTTGCACTCCAGACCTCGGGTGATTCTCCCGCTTCGGCCTCCCAAAGTGTTGAGATTACAGACGTGAGCCACCGCGCCTGGCCCGTGGGTGTGAATTTCTGCCTGTGTGTGTCTTTTTTTTTTTTTTTTTTTTTGAGATGAAGTCTCGCTCTGTCACCCAGGCTAGAACGCAGTGGCCAGATCTCGGCTCACTGCAACCTCTGCCTCTCGGGTTCAAGCAATTCTCCTGCCTCAGCCTCCTGAGTAGCTGGGATTACAGGCACCCACCACCATGCCCGGCTAATTTTTGTATTTTTAGTAGAGTTGGGGTTTCACCGCGTTGGTCAGGCTGGTTTCGAACCCTGACTTCATGATCTGCCTGCCTCGGCCTCCCAAAGTGCTGGGATTACAGGTGTGAGCCACCGTGCCCGGCCCATGGGTGTGAATGTCTGCCTGTGTGTGTCTCCATGTCTGCCGTCTGCGGGAGTACCTCACTTTCATTATCTTGTTCCCTGTCTGTTGGAGCGTATCTCTCTTCCTCTCTGTGTGACTTTTTGTGTTTATGTGTGTGTTTAGTGTGTGTCCGTATTTTCCTGTTCTCTTTGTGTCTCTCTGCTCTCTGTGTCTCTCTCTCTTTTTCCTTCTGTTTTCTGAGGCAGAGTCTCGCTCTGTCGCCCAGGCTAGAGTGCAGTGGTGTAATCTCGGTCCACTGCAACCTCCGCTTCTGAGATTCAAACGATTTTCCTGCCTCAGCCTCCTGAGTAGCTGGAATTACAGATGCACGCCACCACACCCAGCTAATTTTGTATTTTTAGTAGAGACGGGGTTTCACCATGTTGGCCAGGCTGGTCTCGAACTCCTGACCTTAGGTGATCCACCCGCCTCGACCTCTCAAAGTGCTAGGATTACAGGCGTGAGCCACCTCGCCCGGCCCTATCTCTCTTTCTTCTCTTTCTCGCTCTCACTTTGTTTCTCTTCTCTCTCTCTGTCCTCTCTCTCTCCCTCCCCCTCTGTCTCTCTCTTCCCCCACCTCTTTCTCCCCCTCTCTTCTCTCTCTCCCACCCTCTCTGCCTCTCTCTCTCCTCTCTCTTTTTCCCTCTCTCTCTTTCCCACCCCCTTCCCCTATCTCCCCTCCCTCCCCCGCCCCCCCACCCGCTTCATAGCTGAGCCTGTCCGGCAGAGCAGCGGATGTACGGATGATTCAGTGGCTGGCAGGAAGCCCGCCCTGCCCGCCCGCCAGTGTCAGTGGTGTTGGCATCAGCTCGGGCAGGTGTGCGGGCTCAGGATGGGACGGCCGCGGTGAGGAGCCCTGGACTCTCAGGTAAGCCTTTCCCAGAGGTGCCTCAGTCCTTAGGCTGTCCCCCATCCCCCAGGAGCTCCTGGCCCCACTGGGTGGGGTGGGAAGAGGCCTGGATGCCTGGCACCCCCTCCCGCAGTGCCACTCCCGCCCTGGCACCAGATCCTGTGGCACTTCAGGAATCAGTTTGTTTCTGGGCTTCTGGCCACTCTCCTGCCCTCGCCTTCCCCTGTCCAGCCTGCACAGCTTTGGGACATCCCAGGGTGGTCCCATCATTGCCAGAGACTGGTGAAGGGCAGCCGAGAGCCAAAACAGTGGCTGCCCTGGGCTGGGAGCCTCGGTTTCCTCATCCATGAAATGGGACTGTAACCCCCTACACAGGTCAGGGAAAAATGGTGAGATACAGACCAGGGCCCAGGTCCTGCCCCAGGTCAGGTGGAGAACCCCCGCTGCCTCCCTGCCCAGCCCCCTGCCTGGCCCTCAGCTCTGTCCCTGGGACTAGGGCTGCTCAGGCCCCTGCTGCACCCACCCGCCTCCCCCCTTCCCAGCCAGCCTCATTTGAAGCCAAAAGTTATTTGGAAAAAGCAACAGGACCAGCCTGGCACGGTGACTCACACCTGTTATCCCAGCATTTGGGGAGGCCAAGGCGGGAGGATCATTTGAAGTCAGGAGCTGGAGACCAGCCTGGGCAACATAGTAAGACTCCCATCTCTTAAAAAAAAAAAACCAATAAAATTAAAATGAAAAAACCAACAGACACCAGAGCAGAGTTCAGTGGATAAAGCTGTCCAGGGCTTCAAGCCAGGCCGCCCCCTCCCCCACCCCAGTGTCCCCAACCACACAGCTCGGCTGGGAGAACAGGCAGGGTGGTCTTGAGTGTCCTCCAGCCCAGCCCCGAGAGCTTCCCCGAAGCCGGCTCTTGGCAATCTTTGTTCATATGAAAACTGCCCACTTCCCTTTAGTGCTATTTTGGCCTCTGCAGAACTGTGGTCTGTGGCAGCCCCCACTCCCCACCCCGCCCACTCCTGCCGGCCCCTGGGGGCCTCAGAGGGCCCACCCTCCGCTCCCTCCACCTCCCCCCACTTGCTTTCAGAACCTACATGGAAGAGTGAAAGTAAGAGCGAGACAGAGACACACACAGAGAGGGAGACAGAGACAGAGAGACACAGAGACACAGAGACAGCACAGAAGTTTTATTTTTTTATTTTTTAAACAGAGTCTCACTCTGTCATCCAGGCTAGAGTGCAGTGGCGTGATCTTGGCTCACTACAACTTCCACCTCCTGGGTTCAAGCAGTTCTCTTGCCTTACCCTTCCAAGTAGCTGGGACTACAGGCACGTGCCACCACACTTGGCTAATTTTTTATTTTTTGTTTATTTTTTATTTTTTGGAGATGGAGTCTTGCTCTGTCGCCCAGGCTGGAGTGCAATGGCGCGATCTTGGCTCACTGCAAGCTCCGCCTCCTGGGTTCACGCCACTCTCCTGCCTCAGTCTCCCGAGTAGCTGGGACTACAGGCGCCCGCCGCTACACCTGGCTAATTTTTTGTATTTTTAGTAGAGACAGGGTTTCACCATGTTAGCCAGGATGGTCTCGATCTCCTGACCTCGTGATCTGCCCGCCTCGGCCTCCCAAAGTGCTGGGATTACAGGCGTGAGCCACTGCGCTCAGCCTAATTTTTTTATTTTTAGTAGAGACAGGGTTTCACCATGTTGGCCAGGCTGGTCTTGAACTCCTGACCTCAGGTGATTTGCCCACCTCAGCCTCCCAAAGTGTTGGGATTACAGGCGTGAACCACCGCACCTGGCCAACAGCACAGGATGTATTCAGTCTGGGGGCAGACAAACGACTGTTTGTTAAATTTTACTTTTTGTTTTTAGAGAAGGGGTCTTCCTCTGTCACCCAGGCTGGAGTGCAGTGGTGCGATCTTGGCTCACTGCAGCCTCCAACTCCCGGGCTCAAGTGATTGTCTTGCCTCAGTGTACTGAGTAGCTGGAACCACAGGCATGTACCATTGTGCCTGCCTAATTTTTTTCACTTTTTTTGTAGAGACAGGACCTTGTTACATTGCCCAGGCTGGTCTCGAACTCCTGGCCTCAAGTGATCCTCCTGTCTTGGCCTCCCAGTGTTGAGATTACAGGCGTGAACCACCACACCCAGCCTGATCCCATTTTATTTATTTATTTATTTATTTATTATTATTATTGAGATGGAGTCTCACTCTGTCTCCCATGCTGGAGTGCACTGCTGTGATCTCAGCTCACTGAAACTCACTGCCTCCCGGGTTCAAGCAACTCTCATGCCTCGGCCTCCCAAGTAGCTGGAATTACAGGCTTGTGCCACCACGCCTGGCTAATTTTTGTATTTCTAGTAGAAACAGGGTTTCACCACATTGGCCAGGCTGGTCTCAAACCCAAGTGATCCTCCCATCTTGGCCTCCCAAAGTATTGGGATTACAGGTGTGAGTCCCTGTACCCAGCCCGACCCCGTTTTATAGATGAGAAAACTGAGGCTGGGGGCTCTCAGGCACAGGCTAGATTTGGTCCCATGAGCCCTCCCCCAAGACAAGGTGCTCCAACCTCACAAGCCTGAGATGAGGGGTCGTGCTGGAGGGGTTGGGGGTGCACCCTGGGTTGGGGGCACTGAGGCAAGGTGAGATTCGGGGAGGGAGAAGGGCAGTGCCCAGGCGGGCCATGGGGAGGAGAGAGCAGAGCTTTTCTTGGACAACCTCCCGGGGTGACGTGGGTCGTGCCAGTCACACGGCTTGGAAATTCACTTGTTCCCACTGACTCACTTGGCTTTTGGGGAGACGCCCGGTGGCTTCTCTGTGATGGGCCCCTGACCATGGCTCAGGGCCGCGTGGAGATTCCGCATCATCTTACCGCAGGGATTTGGGAAGTCCAGAGAGGTCCTGAGACTTGTCCCAAGCCACCCAGCTTTCAAGGGGGACAGCCCACGTCCTGGTGGGCCTCAGGGATCCCAAGGCAGGAGGTAGGCAGCGTGGAACTCCTCCTTTTTTTTTTTTTTTTTTTTTTTTTGAGAGATGGAGTTTCACTCTTGTTGCCCAGCCTGGAGTGCAATGGTGGGATCTCAGCTCACTGCAACTTCCACCTCCCGGGTTCAAGCAATTCTCTGCCTCAGCCTACTGAGTAGCTGGGATTACAGGCACCCACCACCACCACGACACCTGGCTAATTTTTGGCATTTTTTTAGTAGAGACGGGGTTTCACCATCTTGGCCAGGCTGGTCTTGAACTCCTGACCTCATGATCCACCCGCCTCAGCCTCCCAAAGTGTTGGGATTACAGGCATGAGCCACCGTGCCTGGGCATTTTTTTTTTTTTTTTTTTTTTGAGATGGAGTCTTGCTCTGTTGCCCAGGCTGGAGTACAGTGGTGTGATCTCGGCTCACTGCAAGGTCCGCCTCCCGGGTTCAAGCGATTCTCTTGCCTCAGACTCCTGAGTAGCTGGGATTACAGGCGTGAGCCACCACACCTGGCTAATTTTTGTATTTTTAGTAGAGATGGGGTTTCACCATATTGGTCAGGCTAGTCTCAAACTCCTGACCTCATGATCTGCCCACCTTGGCCTCCCAAAGCGCTGGGATTACAGGCGTGAGCCACTGCACCCAGCTGGAGCGCCTCCTTTTAAGTCCTGTTTACTGCTCCAAGCCTCACCTTCCCCGGCTGTGGGATGGGGAGAAACCCTCCTCACTGGTGGCCAGGGTGGGAAGAACACTGGGGTGGGGGACAGTGGACACTCGGGAGTGTTGGTTCCACAAATGCCCGCCATGCTCAACCCCTTCAGAGACCCCACCACCCTCAACTCTGTCCTCCGCCATCTCCAGGGGGCCAGGTCTCCTTATTATTATTTTTTGAAACAGTCTCGCTCTGTTGCCCAGATTGGAGTGCAGTGGCATGATCACAGCTCACTGTAGCCTGGATCTCCCTGGGTTCAAGCAATCCTCCTGCCTCAGCCTCCCGAGTAGCTGGGACTACGGGTGACCCTGCCTCAGCCTCCTGAGTAGCTGGGACTACAGGTGCCCGCCATCACACCCAACTAATTTTTTTTTGTATTTTTAGTAGAGACGGGGTTTCAGTGTGTTAGCCAGGGTGGTCTCGATCTCCTGACCTCGTGATCCACCTGCCTCAGCCTCCCAAAGTGCTGGGATTACAGGCGTGAGCCACCGCGCCCAGCCTTTTTTGTATTTTTTTTTGTAGAGACAGAATTTCACCATGTTGCCCAGGCTAGTCTCAAGCTCTTGACCTCAAGCGATCCTCCCTGCCTTGGCCTCCCAAAGTGCTGGGATGAAAGGCGTGAGCCACCGCGCCTGGCCCGGGTCTGTTTCTAGTTGCAACAGCTATTGGAAGCCCACTGGAGAGGGCCACCCTTCCATTCACTAGGCCACGGTGGGTGGTGTGCGTGTGTTTTGCTGAGGCCTGGTCATCACGCCGTGGCTCCAAGGCTGGGACCAGCCACAGACCAAGAAGCTGGCCAGGTGCCAGCCAGGGATTCAGGGCTCCCCCCGAACATCCTGTCTTCAGCCCAGCCTTGGCATCCCAGCTAATTTCATCCCAGCCCCCTGCAGCAGTGCGCTAGGGCCCCATCCCTCTGCGGATCACCTTTCTCCACCTCATGCTGTTGGGCCACCTCCTCCAAGAAGCCTTCCCCAACCTCCCTCCTCCCAGCCCCCACCACAGGCAGAATCAGGGTTTGCAGTTGTTTCAGGAAAGGAAGCCCCATTCCCAGGTCCTGAGGGGACCCCAAGGCAGGAGGTGGGCAGAGAGGGGTCCTGGGAAGCATAGAGGGGCCCTGAGTTGCTCCGGGGTGGGCAAGGGCCTCCGGGTGCTTCTGTGTGAGTGGTGGCCACAGACTGTCACCTCCAGCAGCCGGGGTGGTTTACTGGAGGCAACCCACTGTGGGTTGATGGGCAGAGCCAGGGTTGGGGACAGGACACTGGGGCCTGAATCTCGTCTTTCCACTTAGCAGACGTGAGTTCTCTGGCCTCAGTTTCTCGATTTGTGAAATGCAGTGAACCTCATCTTCAAAGGGCAGTTGTCTGGATTAAGGGAGGCTGTGTGTAGGGCTGTGTGTGTGCACATGGGGCCGTCTTGTGGGCCACCAGAACCTTCCAGCACTTATCAAGGGTGAAGATGGCCCCTGGGGCATAGGTGTTGGTTTGGGGTCACATGGGGTGACCAGGACTGGTTCTGTCCCTGCCCAGTGCAGGAGCGGGGAGCGCGGTGGTGTTTCTGCAGCCTGGGCTCCGGTATGAGGGTGTCCGAGCACATGCGGGTGTAGGGTGGGATTCCTGAAAAAGGGGCCCCTTGCTCACGGGCACCTCCCATTTCAGCATCACAGGAGGCAACACCAGGAGCCGACATGAGCTCAGGGACTGAACTGCTGTGGCCCGGAGCAGCGCTGCTGGTGCTGTTGGGTGTGGCAGCCAGCTTGTGTGTGCGCTGCTCACGCCCAGGTAGGCGGGGGTCCCGGGAGCATGATGGGGAGAAGGCGTGGATGGTGGATCTCAGAGACCGTCTCAGGCCCAGACGTGGCTGTGGTCAGAAGGGGTGGTCAGGTGAATCTCATGATTAAGCCCTGAACCCCTAAACTGCCCCCTGAAGACAATGGTGAGGTGCACCTGTGGGCTTTGGTTTTGCCAGGTCAACTGCGATATCGGGCCAGAGAAATTGCCCCAGACAAGGGAGGGGAGGCGAGGTTGCCTGTGGCATCCACTTTTCCAGCCTCTCCTCTTCTGAAAGAGGGTGAGCAAATATAGGTTTTTTTGTTGTTGTTTTTGTTTTTTGAGACAGAGCCTTGCTCTCCCAGGCTGGAGGGCAGTGGCGTAATCTCGGCTCACTGCAACCTCTGCCTCTCGGGTTCAAGCGATTCTCCTGCCTCAGCCCCCTGAGTAGCTGGGACCACAGGTGCCCGCCACCACACCTGGCTAATTTTTGTGTTTTTAGTAGAGACGGGGTTTCCCCCATGTTGGCCAGGCTGGTCTCGAACTGCTGACCTCAGGTGATCCTCCTGCCTCGGCCTCCCAAAGTGCTGGGATTACAGGAGTGAGCCACCACACCCCGTCCCAAATACTCTTTTTTTTTTTTTTTTTTTTTTTTTTCTTTTTTTTTTTTTTTTTTTTTTTTTTTTTTTTTTGAGACGGAGTCTCGTTCTGTCACCCAGGCTGGAGTGCAGTGGCGGGATCTCAGCTCACTGCAAGCTCCGCCTCCTGGGTTCACGCCATTCTCCTGCCTCAGCCTCCCGAGTAGGTGGGACTACAGGCGCCCACCACCTCGCCCGGCTGGTTTTTTGTATTTTTTAGTAGAGACGGGGTTTCACTGTGTTCGCCAGAATGGTCTTGATCTCCTGACCTCGTGATCCGCCCATCTCGGCCTCCCAAAGTGCTGGGATTACAGGCTTGAGCCACCGCGCCCGGCCCCAAATACTCTTTAATGTCAGGTGGCCGGTGATGATTGACAGTTTGGCCCCCAAGTCCTGTCTGAGTCCTGCTGGGAGACAAGACATGGCGGGGGGTGTCTGACCTCATTTCGCAGCTGCTCCCGGACCCTTTGCTAATCCTGGCCTGTTCTTGCAGGTGCAAAGCGGTCAGAGAAAATCTACCAGCAGAGAAGTTTGTGAGTTGCCTCGATGTCCCTAGCCTGGTGTATTCACGTGCCCTGGGCATGAGCGTCCCCAAGGGAATTCCTGGCACCCTGTCCTTCACCCCTTCACTCACACCTCCTCCGTGCCAGGCTCTAGCAGGTTCTTAGCCATCAGAGAAGGGAGAGGAAGTGCCCGGGGGCTGTCCAGGCCCTGCTGCAGCTTGGGTTATGGAGGGCTTTGAGAGGCGGGGATGCCTGGGCTGTGGAGCTAGCCACTCTTTCCTGTGAACCCCTCTAGAAGTTCCTCACAGCTTTCCTGTGAACCCCTCTAGAAGTCCAGGCATCTGGCCAGGCGCGATGGTTCACGCCTGTAATCCCAGCACTTTGGGAGACCGAGGCAGGTGGATCACCTGAGGTCAGGAGTTCGAGACCAGCCTGGCCAACGTGGTGAAACCCCGTCTCTACTAAAATACAAAAATTAGCCGGGCATGGTGATGGGTGCCTGTACTCCCAGCTACTCTGGAGGCTGAGGCAGGAGTATCACTTGAACCCAGGAGACAGAGGTTGCAGAGAACTGAGATTGTGCCACTGCACTCTAGCCTGGGCGAAAAAGCGAGATTCCATCTCAGAAAAAAAAAAAGAAAAAGAAAAAAAGAAAAGAAAAAAAAAAAGAAGTCCAGGCACCTGTGTCTTCAGCCTCCCTTTGACTCCAATCCCCCAGGGCTAGTCCGCTCTCCCCCTGCAATGCAAGAGACAGAGACCCCAGCACAGGGTGAAATGTGAACGTTGTTGGAATCTCCCCTGGGAGAAGCTGCTGGAGCTCTGGGGAGGATGTGGGCAAGTCCCTTGGGGGACGAGGGAAGGACTGTGAGAAAGACCCAGGAAAGGGCAGTGGGTTCGACACTGCAGGCTAGGGCTAAAACCCAAAACAGCCTGGGTACATGGGCAGTAGCCACAGGTGTCCTTTAAGAGAATGACTTGCTGTGGGCCCAGGAGACCTTGGAGGTCCACGTGCACCCCCGAGCAGCCACTCATGACCCACACACGCACGCCACACATCCTTCCTCATTTCCTTTTGCAACTGAAAAACCACAGTGAGATTTGAAAATAGAATCTTCCCATCCTTGCTCAATGTGGGCCAGGGCTAGACCTTTCTGGGTCTTTCTGGCCACGTGGCTTTCTGGCCTGCCTGCAACCTCCCCCGATGCCCCCCACGCCCTTGACTCCTCGGACACTTCCCCCCTCCCCTCTTCTCTCAGGACCTGCCCACCCCCGGCCCCCCGATTGATCTTAGAGCCACAGATGGTCAGGGCCAGACCCAGGGTCCCCATGTGGGAGGCGGAAGGGGAGCTGTTCGGTCCCCTCCCTGGAATGCCTTTGCCTGCCTCTCCATCTGTCACCTCAGTTGGGCTCAGTCCCACCAGTCTGCATGAAGTGACTGCTGTGAGCACAGGCTCCGTTCCTCTGTTTTTCTCCCAGGAAGCCACATCTGACTCTCTCCTGTGGATTTAGGGTATCTCTCCTAAATCAGGTCACCCTGAGCCCCAGTCTTCCAGGAGTTTGGAAGGCTGGGCCAGGTACCCATTCTGGTTCAGAGGAGGAGCCACCAAACCTGCTTTAATAATGAGCGAATCCACTCCATCACCTGTAATGGTGGCTTCCATTTTCAAGAGCAGCTCATGGTCCAAGATGGCAGCTGGGGCGCCGGCCCTCATCTCTGCATTCCCAGCAGCAGGAAGAAAGAATGAACAAGGATACAAAGGGTGTCTCCCAGTTGCCAGTGACCCCCTTTAAAAAGATTTATTGGAAATATCAACAACCTTGGCTTGAATCTCATAGACCAGAGCTTAATCCATGGCCACACTTTGGTGCAAGGAAGGTTAGGAATAGTCTGTTATTTCTTTATTTATTTAGAGATGGAGTCACATTTACTCTTTTGTTCTGGCTGGAGTGCAGTAGAATGATTTTGGCTCACTGCAACCTCTACCTCCTGGCTTCAAGTGATTCTCCCGTCTCAGCCTCCCGAGTAGCTGGGAATGCAGGCATGTGCCACCATAACCAGCTAATTTATGTATTTTTAGTAGAGACGGGGTTTCTCCATGTTGGTCAGGCTGGTCTTGAACTCCCGACCTCAGGTGATCCGCCTGCCTTGGCCTCCCAAAGCCCTGGGATTACAGGCGTGAGCCACCATACCGGGCCTCGAGTGTGTGCTTTTTTAAGGAATTGCAAACACTCCTGGGACCAGCAGGTGGGAGGCAGCCTCTTTGTCACTCCTGCCTGAAATGTTTTACCCCAAGTCACTTCTGGATTCCTCATCACCTGCCTTCATTCACCCTTATGCCCCAGAATCTCAGGGCTGCCTCCTTAGCCCTGTCCACAGATCCCTCCTGACCCGTCTCCAGGGGCCTGGGACCCCCCGGCAGGATGTGGCCCTGTTGAGGCCATGTGGGGGATGGGTCTGGCTGAGAGCCAGGCTCTAGCCCAGGACCCTGTGTGAGGGGTGGGCACCCAGGGCACAGAGGGGCCAGAGAATGGGGGTAGCAGGGGGAGCTGTGAGTCTGAGGCCTGAAAGGACAGCGGTTCCTCCCTGCTGTCACGCTGGTCCGTCCCTCTGCTCTCCCTCCTCGTCCCTGCCTGTCCCTCTCTCCTGTCCCTGTGTCCTTGGACTGTGGGAGGCCAGGCCCAGGCTCAGCACAGCCCATGCATTTCCAGGCGTGAGGACCAACAGAGCTTCACAGGGTCCTGGACCTACGCCTGTGAGTCTCCAAGGGCCCCCGGGCTGGGCTCTGGGTTGGGGGTGTCCCTATCAAGTTCTCTCGGTCGCCATTGCCGTAAGACCATGGCCAGGCCTGATGTGGGGGGATGATGGGGTGAGGGGGCTGGGCTAGCCTGGAGGCCCAGCCAACACCCCACTTCTTGCCCTTTGCAGTGGTCGGACAGGCATGGCCAGGACCCCTGGAGGACACAGCACCCACAAGGTAGGTCACAGCCCCCCAGGAAGTGACAAGGAGGAAAGTCCTGTAGGTCCCTACCTGGTGAGCCCAGGTCAAGACCTCCCTCCCTCCCTGGGCCCCAGAGCTCCAGGGCTCAGCTATGAAGGCCCCACCAGGGTGTATAGGGGATGTATCCCGGGGGGCATCTCCGCTACGGCCCCTCCTTCAACCTGCTCCTTCCCCCTCCCTGCAGGAAGGACAAGCTGTTGCAATTCTCCCCAGGCCTGGAGGGTGAGTGGCACAGGGCAGGGACAGGGACAGGCCCAGCCAAGCTGGGACTAAGACAGGCGAACACCCCGTGGGACAGGCGTTGTGCAGTGGGGGCTGTGGAGCCAGGCGAGACCTCCCCAGGAGAGACACACAGGCTGGGGCAGGGCGGGCTCCTGGAATCGGCCTGGCAGGGGGAGGGTGCACACTCGCACATGCCCCACTGAAGGGACAGGGAGCATTGCAAAGGCTCAGACACGGGAAATAGCTCGCCCTGCCTTGGGCTGCAGCGCCCAAGCTGGGTGGAAAGCGGGGGCCAGGGGAGAGAGCGATGAGCTGGGCCTTTCTTCCAGATCCAGCATCTTGCAGGTACCAGAACTTCAGCAAAGGTAGGTGGGCTGCTGGGGAAAGGGGGAGGCCGCAGTGGGGGCCACAGCCCATGGGCTCAGGCCTGATTCTCGCCTCCTCCCGCAGGAAGCAGACACGGGTCGGAGGAAGGTTACATGTGAGTGACCTTGGTCCCGTCCCCCTGCCCCACCTCTCCCCCTGCCCCGCCTCTCCCCCTGCCCCGCCTCTCCCCCTGCCCCACCTGCCTGCCACAGCCCTGGGCTTCCTGGTCCAGGAACCACCCTCTTGCACTAGAACATCCAGGTTCCCCTCCTTCTCCTGACAGGCAAGCATTGGGTGACACTGTCGTCTCTCAGGCGACCCTGGCTTTGTGGGACCAGACTTGGCCCTGCTCTGGGACATAGGGTGTCAGGGGTGGGGGATGGAGACTCATTCAGCATCACCCAGTCAAAGACAAGCTACAGGACACCCAGAACCCCTCCAGGGTGTTGCATCATCTTACAGATGGGCCAACTACGGGGACTGGCCTAAGGTCACAAAGCAAGGTGGCTCACCAGGTGCGGTGGTTCGTGCCTGCAATCCCGGGACTTTGGGAGGCTGAGGCAGGCAGACCACCTGAGGCCAGGGGTTCGAGACCAGCCTGGCCAACATGGTGAAACCCCGTCTCTACTAAAAATAATTAGCCAGGCATGGTGGTGCGTGCCTGTAATCCCAGCTACTTGGGAGGCTGAGGCAGGAGAATCGCTTGAACCTGGGAGGCTGAGGTTGCAGTGAGCCGAGATCATGCCATTGCACTCCAGCCTGGATGACAGAGACTCTGCCTCAAAAAAAAACAAAACAAAACACACACACACACAAAAGGTGGCTCCAACCAGGCGGCTGGCCACGCCCTCCAGCCCCCCCCGTGGCTCAGGGGTCCCAGGAAGTAGGGGTGGGGGAATCAGAGAGGAGATCCTGGCAGACCCCCATGATGAGCAATGGTGGGAGCAGCCCTGGCCTCACCGTCCCTCTACAGAGCCCCCCAACTCGACCTCCAGCCTTCCCTGAAACCTGTGCTGTGTATGTTCTCTTGGCCAGAGACCCCATTGCCATGGAGTATTACAACTGGGGGCGGTTCCGGAAGCCCCCGGAAGGTGAGGTGAAGGACAAAGCCAGTGGTGGGGGAGGAAGTAGAGTGGGAGCTCAGGGCAGAAGCCATACCTCCAGCAGGAGAGGAGGCTGGGCCTGGGTTCAGGTGAATTGGCAAAGCCGGCTGGGTGGACAGAAGGAGGCTGGTGCTGCAGGCAGGGGCCAAGGAGGGCGAGGGGGCATGCAGGTCAGCGTGGGAGCTGTGGGCACAGGCGTGGGAGAGAGGAGTGGGCCACAGGGGCAGGGAACTAGAGAGCTGGCTTGGGGAGGTTGGGGGAGGCCAGGTCCTTGTCAATGAGGACTGAGCATCTCCTCCTAAGCCCAGAAGGTACCCGGGATGGTGATCCCTGCAGGCTCTGAGGCCACCAGAACCTTGGTCCCTGAATGCCTTTGCTTTATAGAAAGGGCAACTGAGAGGCTGGGCACGGTGGCTCACGCCTGTAATCCCAGCACTTTGGGAGGCCAAGGTGGGTGGATCACCTGAGGTCAGGAGTTCAAGACCAGTGTGGCCAACATGGTGAAACCTAGTCTCTACAAAAATACCAAAAAAAAAAAAAAAAAAAATTAGCCGGGCATGGTGGTGCATGCCTGTAATCTCAGCTAGTCGGGAGGCTGAGACAAGAGAATCGCTTGAACCTGGGAGCGGAAGCTGCAGTGAGCTGAGATCATGCTGTTGCACTCCAGCCTGGGCAACAGAGCAAGACTCCATCTCAAAAAAGAAAAAAACCAAAAAAAAAAAAAAAAAGGGCAACTGAGGACTCAGGGTGGGAGGAGCCTGCTGAGAGGTGCATGGGCCCGGGGCTTGAATCCAGCTGCCTGACCTGGCTCCTGCCTGGACCATGCTGGGTATGTGTTGGGGGGTCCTCTTCTGCACCCCCACTGCCACCTCCATTGTATTTTTTTTTTTTTTTGAGACAGAGCCTTGCTCTGTCACCCAGGCTGAGTGCAGTGGCACAATCTTGGTACACTGCAACCTCCACCTCCCAGGTTCAAGCAATTCTCCTGCTTCAGACTCCCAAGTAGCTGGGATTACAGGCGCCCACCACCACGCCTGGCTAATTTTTTGTATTCCTGGTAGTGACGGGGTTTCACCGTATTGGCCAGGCTGGTCTTCAACTCCTGACCTCAGGTGATCCACTTGCCTCGGCCTCCCAAAGTGCTGGGATTACAGGCGTGAGCCACCCCACCAGGCCAGCAGTGCTCATTTCATAGGACCCCAACATCACTGATGGATTTTGGGTGGGGCATCGGTCAGAGCCCAGCTTCCCCATTACAAGACCAAGATGGGGTGCCAGGCGCTGAGGTGCCACACTCAGCCTGGGTCCCCGAGCCAAGGGTCCCCAGCCTGCCCCACCCTGTCTGGAAGAGTCCAGCCCCTCCCGGCAGTGGCTCTAGGGAAAGCTCCTGATTAGAGATGACCCCTGAGGCTGCCCCTGCCTCCCTCCCTCCCTCCCTCCCTCCAGCCACCCATCGTGGGCCTGAATTGCAACCTTCCCCCAGAGTACCTCCTCCCGAGTGCATTTGGAGGGGATCTCAGAAGACAGAGAAGGAGGCTGGACACAGTGACTCACGTCTGTAATCCCAGCATTTTGGGAAGATCGCCTAAGTTTAGGGGCTCGGGATCAGCCTGGGCAACACAGCGAGATCCTCTCTCTACGAAAAATTGTAAAAGTTAGCTGGGCACGGTGGTACGTGCCTGTAGTTCCAGCTACTCAGGAGGCTGAGGGGTAGGAGGATCATTTGAGCCAGGAGTTGGAGGCTGCAGTGAGCTATGACTTTGCCAATGTCCTCCAGCCTGGGTGATAGAGCGGACACCATGTCAACAAGAAACAAAGAAGACAGAGAAGGAGCTCAGGGCTCAGGGAAAAGCCTACAGGGGCACCAGGCCAGCGCCCATTAGGAAGCTCATCCAGGAGAAAGCTTGAGGTCCCAGAGGACCCAGAGGGCTAGGGCTTGGCAGGAAAGGTCCCCTGCAAAGGGAAGGCAGGACAGAGGTGGAGGATAAGCCAGGCCTTGCAGGGCCTGCCCACACCCCCGTGCCCGTTCTTCTCTCTCCTACAGATGATGCCAATTCCTATGAGAATGTGCTTATTTGCAAGCAGAAAACCACAGAGCCAGGTGAGGCTGCCCAGCCAGGGCCTCCTTGGCCCCTGCACTCCCCACTGCTCAAAGGCTGCCCCTACTTTGAAACCAAAGGCTCTCAGATCCCCAGGTACCTTTGGGTAGAGCCTTGCCCCTAGTATCCTCGGAGGAGGCTCTGTTGGCTCCTGGTGCCTCTGTGGGACTGAGCCAAGGGGGGCCTATTCTCCCTCTCTGCAGTTGCCCAGCAGGACGGCACAGGTGGCCTCTGCAGAGGGGACCACATCCCGTCGCTGGCCCTGAAGACTGGCCCCACTTCTGGTGTCTGTCCCTCGGCCTCCCCGGAAGAAGATGAGGAATCCGAGGATTATCAGAACTCAGCATCCATCCATCAGTGGCGCGAGTCCAGGAGGGTCATGGGTAGGCGGCCAGAAGAGGCTGCAGGGCGGCCCACTTAGGGCAGGCTTGAGGGACTGGCCTGGAAGGGCAGGCTGAAAGTGGGCTTCCCTCCAGCCAGTCCAGCTAACCCCGCAGTGATGCCTGGGTGCAGGGGCAGCTGCAGAGACCTTGAACCACACAGGACGGCCCTTGGCAGCCACCCAGCCTCCGGGGTGGGGTCAGGTCCTCCCAGGCAGGCCGCCCCGTCCAGCTGCATGCATAGAGTAACACATTCACCTGCTCTCAGAGCCGGACGATCTTCGGCAAATCCCAGAGACGGGACAGGCACACACTGCTAGGACCTGTCCGGCATGGCATTTCCCGCAGGCTGTTTTGTGGAGTCTGGGGGTCTGAGTCTGGGGGAATAGTTATGGGTGTCTCCACATGACCCACTCGATGACCTGTCTGCCCGCTGGTCCGCAGGGCAACTCCAGAGACAAGCTTCTCCTGGCCCGGTGGGAAGCCCAGACGAGGAAGAGGACGGGGAACCGGATTACGTGAACGGGGAGGTGGCGGCCACAGAAGCCTAGGGCAGACCAAGAAGAAAGGTACAGCTCCTGCTCTCCAGCTGCTGCGGGCCGAGGACTGGAGGGCTTGCCAGGCTGCAGGACCCCCAATCCAAGGGAACAGCTGAGAGTGTGGGTGGAGGGGCCATGGTGGGGGCTGCAGGGTGCACCCATGGGTGCTCCAAGAGGGCAGCTTGGCGACTCTGTTCCTGTGTTCTGGCCAGGGGCATCAGGCAGGGAATTCTGGTGACTTCGGGGGCAAAGGATTGGGCACCGGGTGGGTCTCCCAACTCCACTGCATCCTCCCGGCTGCCACCTTGGACCAAGTGACAACCTCCCAGAACTTAGTTCCTCACATGGTGCCCCCGTCTCAGACAAGACATCCCACACACAGCCAGGCGCGGTGGCTCCCGCCTGTAATCCCAGCACTTCGGGAGGCCGAGGCAGGCGGATCACCTGAGGTCAGGAGTTTGAGACCAGCCTGGCCAACATGGTGAAACTTCATCTCTACTAAAAACACAAAAGATGAGCCGGCGTGGTGGTGGGCGCCTGTAGTCCCAGTTACTTGGGAGGCTGAGGCAGGAGAATCATTTGAACCCTGGAGGTGGAGGTTGCAGTGAGCGGAGATCGCACCACTGCACTCCACCCTGGGTGACAGAGCGAGATTCCGTCTCAATAAACAAATAAAAAAACAGACCAGACATCACACACAAAGCCTCAGCCCAGCAGGCACTCGGTCAGTGCTGGAAACAGACAGGAGGCTGGGACATTGGGAAATGTAACAGTGGTTGAGACGCACTGAGGAGCCACCACAGGCCAGTGAGATGGTGTGATGCTAAGCGTTCACACGAGCACCATCTCTTAGCACCCAAAGCCACAGAGCAGTGAAGCCACCTGCCCAAGGTCACGTCTTGGAGTAAGGGGAGGAGGAGATGGAAGCCCCAGTGGTCAGACATCAGACATCAAAGCCCAGGCTGGGTCTACCACTTGGGAAGCAGGATGGACCCCCAGAGGGCCTTGAAGGCTGCCCAGAGCCCCCATCTGGGAGACCCAGGCCGTCATCTCAGTGAGCAGGCTGGAGGGTGGAAACCACATTGAACCTGGGCGGTCAAGAGTCGGCCCCAGAGGCAGGTGCAGGAGTTTGAGCCGAGTGTGCAGAGCCCCACGTCATTCATTCAACCAGTATCCACTGGGCCCCTGCTATGGGCAAGTCCTGCTCTAGGTGCTGGGGACACCTACATAAAGAACAGGAAACCCCTGACCCCTTAGAACTTACGTTCTGGTGGGAGAGAGAAAACACATAGGGCCGGACACAGTGGTCATGCCTATAAATCCTAGCACTTTGGGAGGCTGAGGCGGGAGGATCCTTTGAGCCTCTGAGTTTGAGGCCAGCCTGGGCAACATAGCAAGACCTCTGTTTCTACAAAAACTTTTTTTTTTTTTTTTTTTTTTTTTAAAAGAGACAGAGTATCACTGTCACTCAGGCTGGAGTGCAGTGGCGTGATCTCGGCTCACTGCAACCTCTGCCTCCTGGGTTCAAGCAATTCTCGTGCCTCAGCCTTCCAAGTAGCTGGGACTACAGGCACGTGCCACTATGTCCAGCCTCTACAAAAACTTTTAAAATTAGCCAGGCATGGTGGTGGATGCCCTAGAGTCCCACTGACTCGTGAGGCTGAGGTGGGAAGATCACTTGAGCCTGGGAGGTCAAGGTTGCAATGAGCCACGGTCGCTGCAGTGAGCTATGGTCACGCCACTGCACTCAAGCCTGGGCAACAGAGCAAGACCCTATCTCAAAAAAACAAAACAATTTAAAAATTAGCTGGGCATAGTGGTGTGCACCTGTAGTCCCAGCTACTTGGGAGGCTGAGGCAGGAGGATCACTTGAGCCCAGGAGTTCAAGGCTACAGTGAGCTATGATGGTACCACTGTACTCCAGCCAGGATGACAGAGTGAGACCCTGTCAAAAAAAAAAAAAAAAGAAAGAAAGAAAACAGGTAAGAAGACATGGCATGTTCACTGGTGGTAAGTCCGGCAGAGATAAACAAAACAGGGAAGCGGGGCAGGAAGTAGTGTGGGGCTGTGGGCACAACGGGGTGTTGCAATTTAAGGAAGAAAGCTAGAGAAGCCTTTCAGAGCTCCCTTCCTCACCCCATCTGGGGGAAGGGCATCCAGGCAGAGGGGACAACAGAGGCCGCAGGGTGGAATGAGCCCCACAGGTCTGAACAAAGCCGGGGGTGGGGAGGAGCGGGTGAGGGGAAACTAGTGGAGGTCGAGGCCGGAGGTGGGGAGGCTGACCAGGCAGGGCCAGCACTTGGGGTTTTACTGCATGAGATGGGAGGGAGGGAGGGAGACAGAAAGGTTGTTTTTTCTTTTTTTTTCATTTCTGTTGCCCAGGCTGGAGTGCAACAGCATAATCTCAGCTCACTGCAACCTCCACCTCCTGGGTTCAAGCGATTCTCCTGCCTCAGCCTCCCGAGTAGCTAGGATTACAGAGATCTGCCACCACGCCTGGCTAATTTTTTTGTATTTATTTTGTTTTTTGAGAAGGAGTCTCGCTCTGTCACCCAGGCTGGAGTGCAGCACTGCGATCTCAGCTCACTGCAACCTCTGCTTCCTGGATTCAGGTTTCTCCTGCCTCAGCCTCTCGAGTAGCTGGACTACAGGCCCGTGCCACCACACCTGGCTAATTTTTTTTTTAGTAGAGATGGGGTTTCGCCATGTTGGTCAGGCTGGTCTCGAACTCCTGACCTCAGGGTCATCGACCCACCTCAGCCTCCCAAAGTGCTGGGATTACAGGCGTAAGCCACCGCACCCGGCCAGTGGGAAGGTTTTGGACAAAAGACTGGCTGGATGTTTCTAATTCAATTTCTCTGGCTGTTGGGCAGACAAATGGGTACTGGGAGAGTGGGTACAGGAAGGCCAGGAAGGACCCAGGCACTGGTGCCATCTGGGCCAGGGGTGGCAGCAGTGGAGACGGGTGAGCAACATGGCGAAACGCTGTCTCTATATAATATACAAAAATTTGCCAGGTGTAGTGGTGCACACGTGTAGTCCCAGCTACTCGGAGGCTGAGGTGGGAGGATAGCTTGAGTCTAGGAGGTTGAGCTGCCCCAAACCAGTGGTTCTGGTTCTCAGGAACAAAATACGGATCAAGGCAAACCTCCTTCTACAAACTTTCCTCTTCATTTAAGGAGTCAAGGCGAAGAGGGACTACTGTGCTCATGGACCTGTCGCTGCTTTCCAAGGACCCTTTCCCAGAGCTACTCAACTTTTCAGCCCCTGCCATGGTTGCTCCTGGAAGGAGAACCAGCCACCCTGAGGACCACATGGCCAGGCGCGCACAGCCCGGGAAAGGACAGCTACCCACAGGAGCTGCAGCCCTGCCACCAAGCCCTCTCCCAACCCGGGCTTTGTGGGGCAGGCACCTGGTACCGAGGGTAACCCGGCTCCTGGTATGGATGGATGCGTAGGATTTAGGATAAGCTGTCGCCCTGTCCCCATACCAAAACCATTGTCCAACACTGGTATCTGTCCTTTTGTGCTATGAATTTGGATTCCTAATTGCTCTTGTTGGTTGCCGGGGTCTTAAAGGATTGATAAGCTTCTCCAGTTAACTTATAGAGGGGGAGCCATATTTAATATTCTGGATTTCAGAGTAGAGATTTCTGTGTTGTCTCCCAGAAAGCATTACATGTAGTTAATTTCAGCATCCTGGTTGGGCGGGGCCCTGGCTCTCTTCCCCTTTAGTGGGACCTCCCCTTTCTTTGGGCTTCAGTTCACTAAGGAAGAAATAAGGCTGTCGCCATCTTTATGTGCTTTCAGTGGAAATGTCATTTGTTATGGACAATAGTGCGTGAGAGTTTAGAGAAGTAGTGACCAGAACAGGGCGGAGTAGGTCTCCTCCATGGCCCAGAATCCTCCTCTGCTCCAGGGCTGGCCTCTGCAGAGCTGATTAGACAGTAATATGACTGTCTCATGGGAAGAGCTGGGGCCCAGAGGGACCTTCTGAGTCAGAAATGCTGCCAGAAAAAGTATCTCCTCCAACCGAAACATCTCAATAAAACCATTTTAGTTGAAAAGCAGTGATTATCCTGTGTCTCCTTTCCCCTGCTTCAGGTAAAAAACCTTTTATAAAAATAAAAAAATGGAGCAGGGCGCGGCGGCTCAAGCCTGTAATCCCAGCACTTTGGGAGGCCGAGACGGGCGGATCACGAGGTCAGGAGATCGAGACCATCCTGGCTAATACAGTGAAACACCGTCTCTACTAAAAAATACAAAAAACGAGCCAGGTGAGGTGGCGGGCGCCTGTAGTCCCAGCTACTCGGGAGGCTGAGGCAGGAGAATGGCATGAACCCGGGAGGCGGAGCTTGCAGTGAGCCGAGATCGCGCCACTGCACTCCAGCCTGGGCGACAGAGCGAGACTCCGTCTCAAAAACAAACAAAAATTAGCTGGGCATGGTGGTGCATTCCTGTAGTCTCAACTACCTGGGAGGCTGAGGAAGGAAAATCACTTGAACCCAGAAGGTTGCAGTGAATGGTGATTGCACCACTGCACTCCAGCCTGGGTGAAAGAGGGAGACCTTGTCTCCAAAAACATAACCAAATACAAAAAACCTTAAGGGAATGACGGCCACAGCTCCTGTTTAAAAAGTGACCCTGAGGGCGTCAGGCCTGCGGATGGGATCTTAGTTCCCAACTCCAGCCGTCTTTCTGGGATGGCCCAGGGACTCTTCCCATGAGAAGAAATTAATGCAACAAGTTAGGAAATCCGAAGAAACGTCTAGAACCCAACTGCTGCCCGTGTGTTACTTCACACCCTGAAGTCCTGACTGCACAACCTCAGGGACAAGCTTCTCTTCCTTGTTTTTGTAAGAGTCTCACTCTGTCGCCCAGGCTGGAGTACAGTGGCACCATCTTGCCTCACTACAATCTCTGCCTCCTGGGTTCAAACAATTCTCCTGCCTCAGCCTCCTGAGTAGCTGGGATTACAGGCATGCACCACCATGCCCAGGTAATTTCGTGTTTTAGTAGAGACGGGATTTCTCTGTGTTGGCCAGGCTGGCCTTGAACCCCGATCTCATGTGATCCGCCGGCCTTGGCCTCCCAAAGTGCTGGGATTACAGGCGTGAGCCACTGTGCCCAAATGGGCCAGGTATGGTGGCTAACACCTGTAATGCCAGCACTTTGGGAGGCTGAGGTGGGAGGATTACTTGAGACCAGGAGTTTGTGACCAGTTTCAGCAATATAGCAAGACCCTATTTCTACAAAAAATTAAAAATTAGCTGAGCATTGTGATGCATGCCTGTAGTCCCAGCTACTCGGAAGGCTGAGGTGGGAAGATCACTTGAGGACAGGAGTTTGAGATCAGTCCCAGCAATATAGCGAAACCCCATTTCTACAAAAAATTTAAAAATTAGCTGGGCATCATGGTGCATGCTGGTAGTCCCAGCTACTTGGGAGGCTGAGGTAGGAGGATCACTTAAGCCCAGGAGGTTGAGGCTGCAGTGAGCCAAGATTGGCCCACGACACTCTAGCCTGGGCAACAGAGCAAGACCCTATCTTAAAAATAAAAAATAAAAATAAAAAAAACGGAAACAAAATAGTATCTTACAAAAAAAAAAAAAAGGCAATTCTACAAATTAGTAGGAAATTCCCCGGGGAATTCTAAAGCAAGCACAAAGAGTATGATCTAGAACACAGGAAGGGCGTCACGGTGTTTTCCTGAGGGCTGGGCTGTGTCTCTCCACTCTGCGGCCCTCTCTGAGAGGCTCGCCACCTGGCCATTCTGAGAAGTCAGTCTAAATAGGAAATGACAGCAAACCCTGCCCTCGCCCTGGGGAAGTGGCCCCTTCAGGCTTCTAGAAGAACCTAGATGAGCTTGTGGGCCTACTATCTAATCGCCTTTTCTACTTGTAGGCTGCCAAGGCCAGTAGAGACAGGAAGCTGGTTTTCCTCGAGGCTTCACGTGGTCACCTTATTGCCGACAAACACTGCAAGGCTTTATTAGCTAAAATGTCAACCCACACACAGATCAGAGACCACCCTCAGCTCCTCTGCGCCTTTCCGCCCTGTACCACATCAGTGGGGCGGAGGCTGAACGCAAACACTCGTGAGGCACAGATGTCCCAGAAGCAATCATGAAAGCCACAGGAGTTTATTTATTTAATTTTTTTTACCCCCCAAACAGAGTCTCTCTCTGTCGCCCAGGCTGGAGTGCAGTGGTATGATCTTGGCTCACTGCAACCTCCACCTCCTGTGTTCAAGCGATTCTCCTGCCACAGCCTCCCAAGTAGCTGGTGCCTGCCACCACACCCAGCTAAGTTTTATATTTTTAGTAGAGACAGTGTTTCCCCATGTTGGCCAGGCTGGTATCGAACTCCTGACCTCAGGTGATCCACCTGCCTCGGTCTCCCAAAGTGCTGGAACTACAGGCGTGAGCCACCGCGCCTGGCCAGCCACTGGAGTTTAAATGGCAGTCATGCTGGCTCCAGCCTAAGGCGGCATTTTCCCCCATCAGAAAGCCACAGCTCCTGTACCTCAGGATAGGGCTCCTGTAAGTCAGTCAGCGAAGTCTCTGCTCTAACTGGCCACCGGGGCCATTGTCTTCTGACACAGCCTGGCCAGGAGGCCTGCCATCTGCAAAAGGGAGTTCACTCCTTCTGCTATTTTCATGTGAGTGTATCCAATTTCCTGAAAAACAAACCAAATTCAAATCTGGTTAGTAAGTGGGGGAGTTCTTTTTTAAAATCTGAACTGAAACAAACTGAACTAATGGTTTGTTCAAAATCAGCATGAGGAATTCCAACTCCAGCCGGAAAATGAATGCTAAGATGTGATGTGATAGATTATGTTTACCTAAAGTTCAATTTATTTCTTAAAAGGATGCTGACAGTTCTTTCAAAGATACTGTTAAGAAAATGGGTGGGCGGGGCGGGGGCGGCACGGAAAGCCAGGCTAGAGGAAAATATTAATGTATCTGATAAAGAACTTGCATCCAGACTATAAAGAATTCTCAAAAATTCAGTAATAAAGGCCAGGTGCGGTGGCTTGTGCCTGTAATCCCAGCACTCTGGGAGGCCAAGGCGGGTGGATCACGAGGCCAGGAGTTGAGATCAGCCTGATCAACATGGTGAAACCCCATCTCTACTAAAAATACAAAAATCAGCCAGGCATGGTGACACATGCTAATTCCAGCTACTCGGGAGGCTGAGGCAGGAGAATCACTTGAACCTGAGAGGCAGAGGTTGCAGTGAGCCGAGATAGCACCACTGAACTCCAGCCTGGGCGACAGAGCAAGACTCCATCTCAAAAATAAATAAGTAAATAAATAAATTCAGTAATAAAAAACAAACAACCCAATTAAAAAATGGGTAGATTTAGACCTGGAGCAGTAGCTCACACCTGTAATCCCAGCACTCTGGGAGGCTAAGGCAGGAGGATCACTAGCCCAGGGTTGGAGATCAGCCTGGACAACACAGCAACACCCAAACTCTACAAAAAAAAAAGAAAATAAAAACGATCTAAGCGTAGTGGCACACGCCTGTAGTCCAAGCTACTTGGGAGCCTGAAGTGGGAGGATTGCTTGAGCCTGGAAGGTTGAGGCTGCAGTGAACTATGATTGCACCACTGCACTCCAGCCTGGGTGACAGAGCAAGACCCTGTCTCTCAAAAACATAAAAAACGCAGGCCAGGTGCAGTGGCTCACACCCGTAATTCCAGCACTCTGGGAGGCCGAGGAAGGAGGATCACTTGAGCCTGGGAGTTCAAGACCAGCCTTGGCAACACGGGACACCCTGTCTCTACCAAAAATATAAAAAATGTAAAAACTTTAAAAAATGGGTACATATGAATAGATGCTTCATCAAAGAAGATTCTGGAAGGCAAATAAGCACATGATTAAATGCTCAGCATATTAATTAGGGAAATGCAAATTAAAGCCACAATGAGACCTCATCACATGCCTATTAGGTTATTTGGTGGTTGTTAATTATTTTATTTTATTTTTTTTGAGGAGTCTCACTCTTGTCGCCCAAGCTGGAGTGCAGTGGTATGATCTCAGCTCACTGCAACCTCCACCTCCCGGGTTCCAGCGATCCTCCTCCCTCAGCCTCATGAGTAGCTGGGATTACAGGCATGAGCCACTGCATCCGGTCATTACACACCTATCAGAACAGCTTAAAAACCAAACTGAGCACTCCGCGTGGCGACCAGGTTGAGCATCCTCTGGAATGCTGCTGGGAATGCACGTACTGCAGTCACTTTGGAAAACCGTTCAGCAGTTCCTTATGGAGTGAAACATACACTTATCATTTTCCCAGGCAATCCTGGGAACTTACTTGGGAAAAAGAAAAACTTAACATTTGCATTCACACTAATCCATATATGCAAATGTTTACACTGGCTTTATTCACAGTCACCACAATCTGTAAACCCAAATGTCCTCCAGCTGATGAACAGATGAGCAAACTGTGGTACGTGCACACGATGGATGACTTCTCAGTGATACAACGGACTGACGCATGGATGTAAGTACCAGCGTGGACACATCTGAAAGGCATTTCTGCTACAGTGAAAGAAAGAAGCCAGACTCACAAGGCTAAGTTCTACATGATTCCATTTATGATATTCTGGAAAACTGTATCCCCCAAACAGAAACTATATCAGTAGTCTCCAAGTGGTAGTCAGGGAGGGGGCTGGCTTCAAAGGGACACGTGAGTTGTTCTGGGAGGACAGATTCTGTATCCTGATGGTGATGGTGTTTGCGTGACTGACTGCGTGTGTCCTGTACCTAATAGGCTGAATTTTATTCTATGTAAATTAAACCTCAATTAATCTGACCCTGAAAATCAATCAATCAATCAATAGACAAGAGAGCCTTGAATGAAGAAAATCAGGACTGTGTGAAACAAACTTGGTCCTCAGGACAATCAGCCACGTTGATCTAGTTTGGACATCTGCCCATTCCAATCTCATTTGGAATTTGGTCCCCAATGTGGGGATGTTCGGGTCACGAGGAAGATCCCACATGAATGGCTTGATGCCCGCCCCAAGGTAGTGAGTTCTGGATCAATTAGGCCCCTGGAGAGCTGGCTGTTCAAATGGGCCTGGCACCTCCTTCCGCTCTCTCGACAGCTGATCTCTGCACGCACAGGCTCTCCCTTCCAACATGAGCGGAAGCAGCCTGAACCCCTCCCTAGAGGCAGATGCTGGCATCACACTACATGTACAGCCTGTAGAACTGTGAGCCAAATCAACCTCTTTTCTTTCTACATGACCCCGTCTCTGGTATTCCTTTATAGTAACTCAAAGGGACTAAGACACACCCTCCCTCCCTCCCGCTGCAGCTGGGAAACACTGAGCGCCTTCTAGGTGCCAGGCCTGTGAGCAAAAAGAGAAAGCGAAGCCAGGGCCCACAGTCTTCTATTTTGTTATGAGACAGTCTCGCTCTGCTGCCCAGGCTGGACTGCAGTGGTGCGATCTTGGCTCACTGCAACCTTCCAAGTTCAAGCGATCCTCCTCCCTCAGCCTCCCAAGTAACTGGGATTACAGGCGCCTGCCACTGCATCCAGCTAATTTTTGTATTTTTAGTAGAGAGGGGGTTTCACCACGTTGGCCAGGCTGGTCTCGAACTCCTGACCTCAGGTGATCTGCCCGCCTTGGCCTCCCAAAGTGCTGGGATTACAGGTGTGGGCCACGGCACCCAGCCACTATGGCCCACACTCTTGAGGACAGAGGCACTTCTACACTCTCACTGACCTTGATAAACTCCAGTTTCAGATATTCTGCCATTTGGAAAGTTTTACACACTCGAAAGATGTTGCCAATGATATCTTCTGGTGAGTAACCCAGATGCCACAGATGAGCAAGAATCTAGACAAAAGGAGACAGAAAGGCTGCTTAACACTTTCAACTGTAAGAAGTCATGTGATTTTGAGACTCATCCCAGCTGGTGGGGCCCACCCTTCAGGTCACATGGGGTTACCTTAACTGATTTTCATGGCAGATACAGAGATGACATTGCAAATGTACTTTTGTTTTGCTTAAATATTTTTTTTTTCAGTAATATAAACATGGAGTCTTGCTATGTTGCCCAGGCTGGTCCCAAGTTCCCGACCTCAAGCAATCCTCCTGTCTTGACTTCCCAAAGTGCTGGGATTACAGGCAGAAGCCACTGAGCCCAGCCTATTGCAAATGTTTTCAGCTGTGTTGCAAAACGGTATACTATCACACCCATGTAATCTCTTGATCCAGAGCTCTTAAAACGCTTTATTAATCTGATGACGAGGTACAGCAGAGTGGAAAAAGCAGACCATTCATCTGCTAGCTTCGCCCAGCTGCAGTCCCAATGCAACCTCTGCAGGACGAGCCCGGAGCACACCCTGACGGGTAATCCCAGCCTCTGCTTCCCACCCACCTGCCCCGCCCAGGCTGCAGGGACTTTTTTGCCTTTGCTTTGGCATCTTGGGGTGAATTCAGGGGGACAGAGAAGCTCTGTGCCCACAAATCTGAAGGCTTTCTTCAGGTCCATTCAGGGACCTGGGCCTGAGTCTCTGCTCAGTCTCCCCGCCTTGCACTCCGGTTTCACATTAGGTGCAACTCTGCCCTAAACCCAGTCAACTTCCAGCCTAGTTTGTTAGGGGGCAGGCAGAGGGAAACTCTGATTGGATCAATGACCTTGAACCACACCAACCACACCACACTCACGTGGCTTGAGGTCACCTGAGCCCCAGCCACACCTGCTGGAATCTGCTCACAGCACCCAGTCCCATTGTCAGGGTAGAATCTTCCTGCTCCCTCCTCCCCTGGCTGGCTGGGGGCTGCTGGGTCCCAGAATGCCTGTGCCTATGAGAATGGATGAGGACACCTCCCTTAACCGGAGAGAAGATGGCTTCCCTGGAGAAGGAGCTAGGCTGGTCTTTCCTCCTGACTTCGGCTGACAAACTTCTCTTGCAGAGGATATAATTACAGGAGAAAAACACCATTTTGAATTCTAGTTCCACTGCTTTTAAACCGTATGACTTAGGGCTGGGTATAGTGACGTGTGCCTCTAGTCCCAGCAACTTGGGAGGCTGAGGTGGGAGGATCGCCTGAGCCTGAGAGGTTGAGGCTATAGTGAGCTGTGACTGCGCCACTGCATTCTAACCTGGGCAACAGAGTAAGACCCTGTTTCTACAAAAATAAGAAATAAGAAATAAATAAACACAGAGATTTAGGACGAGGAATTCAGCCTCTCTGAATCAGTTTTCTCATCAGTAAAGTGCACACAACTCCTGGTACGATTTTTTTTCCCAGCTCCTAGACAGATTAACACATAGCATGATGTTAATGATTTTTTTTCCTGACACAGGGTCTTACTCTGTCACCCAGGCTGGGGCGCAGCGGCGCAAGCAAAGCTCACTGCAGCCTTGACCTCCAGGGCTCAAGAAATCCTCTTGCCTCAGCCTCCCAAGTAAGATTTCAAGAATTAATGGAGTGATGTGTATAATGTCCCTGGCACTAGAAAGGCTCCCTCTCTCCTCTGCCCAAGAAGTGAGTGGGTCCTCTGCCAGGACGGGGGAAGGAGGCCAACCTTGTAGGCTTCGTCGATGTTGGCATTCACACAGTGCTGGATCATCTCTTTCACCAGCAGTGGGTGGGGCTCATCACAGACCTGGCCAAAGGGAAAGGAAAGGCGGTCAGGGGCTGGAAGGGACAGTGTGACCGGGGAGGCCCCAACAGACCAACTTCCGGGCAATCTATGGGTAAAACTACTCAACCTGTTGTTATCATCAAATTCTCCAGCAACCAGAATGAGTTTGGGGAATGCCCCTCTCACCACCAAAGAGAAGTGCTTCCAGCACCAGGAAGATAAATGTTCCAAACACAAGACAGATGAACAAGAGAGCAACCAAGGCCTGTGAAGGACGCTCACTCGGGGACAGCTTTAAAGCCACCAGCCACCTGTCTTAGATCACTTGGGGAGCCATTTGCCCAGAACCACTTGGAATTCACTTTAGAACCGGGAGGTCCTTTGGGCCAATTCCCACCTCCAGCCCAGAGTAGGAACTGGCCTTCCCTGCAAAGGGTCCCCCAGCCTCAGCCTGGCACCCTAAAGGAGGGGTCCCGCTGCTCCAGCAGGTGGGTGGATGGTGCTGGGGACTCGTTCCTCCCTGCAGCATTCCCCGCACTGGCACAAGGCTCTGCCTCTGGTGCAATGTCGACCCCTAAATCTTCTGAATGAAAGTCTCCTGATGGCTCCAGAGGCCACCCACACCTGCCCTTGCCTTTTCCCAGTAGAAGCCATGGTTTCCTGAGCCCTCAGTGACCCTCCAAGACAAAACAGGGCCCAAACCATCACCGCTGTTTCTGAGCAGGCCTCCCTTTCCTAAGTGGCCTCGAAAATGCGTTCACTGCCCAGGTCTACCCAGATGCTTCAAAAATAGCTTGTCTGTTGTCCACAAACCTGGTAAGAAAGAGCTATAGACTGAAAGCCTGGACAGCCCTTCCCAGGTTCTACCCAAATAAGGGGGAAATGAGTCTCCCAAATGGCATTTAGATGCTGAGTTATCAGGATGTGGAAGCAGTTTTCAAAAGAATTCCCAAGAAAAAAATGTTTTGCCGACATGGGAGAGTGAGAGCCCTTTTCCTCGGCCTGGCTTTGAGGGTTGCTACCCACCCTCCAGGGACAGAAGTGGGGAGAAGGGTATGGCATTGCAGAAAAAACCCAGGGTGTGGAGTCTGAAGGCTGCTGGGGAATAGCACAGTGCTCCTGCCTGCCCTTTAGGGACCAGGGGGTCCCACGTCATCACTCACAATGTGATGGTAAGAACTGCTGTGCAGGGAAGTCGTTGGGATCAAATAAGACGTGTCAGAGGCCGGGCGTGGTGGCTCAAGCCTGTAATCCCAGCACTTTGGGAGGCCGAGACGGGCGGATCACGAGGTCAGGAGATCAAGACCATCCTGGCTAACACGGTGAAACCCCGTCTCTACTAAAAAATACAAAAATCTAGCCGGGCGAGGTGGCAGGCGCCTGTAGTCCCAGCTACTCGGGAGGCTGAGGCAGGAAAATGGCGTAAACCTGGGAGGCGGAGCTTGCAGTGAGCTGAGATCCAGCCACTGCACTCCAGCCTGGGCGACAGAGCGAGACTCTGCCTCAAAAAAAAAAAAAAAAAAAAGATGTGTCAGAAATTGCTTGGCCCTGAGTCGGACGCATCAGTGGTCCTCCCTCACTCCCCCGAAACTCTCCAACTTGTGCAGCAAAAGCAGCAACAGGGAGAGGACAGACAGAAGCAGGGTGGGCTCCCCGGCACTCACGAGAGCAGCCGGGTGTCCGTCCCCACTGCCAGCCCGGCCCCTCAGCCCTGCTGGCCCCCGTAGGGAAGCATGGCTTCTGCTGACGGTACCACCCACACCAGTGCTTGTACCTTGAACACGTTCTCACTGTTAATGAAGCCAAATCCTGAGAAAGTGGACTGCAGGTTGTTCAGCGCCTGTTCAGGAGCAAACACATGTCAGGATGATTTTTATATTTGTTTCTTTTTGGGTAGAGACGGGAGTCTCGCTATGTTGCCCACGCTGGTCCGGAAAGCAGAGAATACTTCTCATTAAACTCCGCGAGTTCTCCACTAGCATGGTGCCTGGCAGCTACTAAGAACCAGGGTTAAGTGTTCAGTGAATGGCTGAATGAATCAATGCACAAGTCAGTGTGATTTGGGGAAGGGAAAAGAATGTAAAGGATTCCCGACACTGCTGAGAGCCCCGCCAGGGCTGGTAGCCATGACTTTGTGGGCGCCACATTTGGTAATGTGCCTGTCTGCAACAGCGGCCTGGGTGGCAAGGGGGTTGTCAGATGGATAAGCTCATATGATTGGGGTTCAGCAGGGCAGAAGTGAACCAAAGAAAGCAGCTGAGACAGCAATGAGGAAGAGCAAGCGATCCTCCCACCTCTGCCTCCCAAAGTGCTGGGATGACAGGTGTGAGCCACGGCACCAGGCCAAGAGTGACTTTTCTTGTTTTTTTGAGACAGAGTCTCACTCTGTCACCAAGCACGGAATGTAGTGGCACAATCTCGAGTCACTGCAACCTCCGCCGCCCAGGTTCAAGTGATTCTCCTGCCTCGGCCTCCTGAGTAGCTGGGATTACAGGCACCCACCACCATGCCCGGCTGTTGTTTTTTTTTTTTCTTTTGAGATGGAGTCTCGCTGTTGCCCAGGCCGGATTGCAGTGGCACTGTCTCAGCTCACTACGAGCTCCGCCTCCCGGGTTCACGCCATTCTCCTGTTTCAGCCTCCCAAATAGCTGGGACTACAGGCACCCACCACCATGCCTAGCTCATTTTCTGTATTTTTAGTAGAGACGGGATTTCACGGTATTAGCCAGGATGGTCTCGATCTCCTGACCTCGTGATCCACCCGCCTCGACTTTCCAAAGTGCTGGGATCACAGGCATGAGCCACCGCGCCTGGCCACACCCAGCTAATTTTTAAATATTTTTTAGTAGAGACGGGATTTCACGATGTCGGCCAGGCTGGTCTCGAACTCCTGGTCTCAGGTGATCCACCTGCCTCAGCCCCCAGGGTGACTTTTAAAGCTCTGCCCTTCCCTGCCTCTCTTCTTGGAGTCTGAGCTAGACAGCCCACTGTCCCAGGAGGGTCCCGGGTCTCCGTCTCTTTCTCTTGTTGTACCTTGTGCAGCTGTCACTTCCCTCCCCTTCCCCACGGAAGGGGCATGGCAGGCACGGGACGCCCACGCCTGAATGGTAGTGGCCCACATACCTGCCTCATGTCTCCCTGGGCCGTGAAGATGATGGCTTCCAGGCCGTCATCCGTGTAGGGCACCCTCTCCTTCTCGATAACATTCATCAGCCTGGCGAGGATCTGCGCGTCGGTCAGCTTTGTGTAGCGGAGGACTGCGCAGCGGGACTGAATGGGCTCTGAACAGAGACGGGACGGCAGTGAGGCTTCCCTGCAGAGGCCGGCATCACCCTGCTAGCTCTTTGGTTACAAGGCTGCAGCTGCATAATCCACACAGCCCCAGGTACTCAGTAGAGACTTGGAAGGCTGAGGCGGAAGGATCACTTGATGTCAGGAGTTCGAGACCAGCCTGGACAACATGGTGACACCCCATCTCTACTAAAAATACAAAAATTCGCTGGGTGTGGTCTCGTACATCTGTACTCCCAGCTACTCGGGAGGCTGAGGCAGGAGACTCACTTGAGCCCGGGAGGCGGAGGCTGAAGTGTGCCAAGATCACACTACTGCACTCCAGCCTGGACAACAGAGCAAGGCTGTGTCTCAACAAATAAATAAATAAATAAATAAATGAGAGAGAGAGAGAGAGAGACTTGGTAAAAACAGGGTGATATGTCAAGGTGTCAACTTGACATATCAAGTTGACATATCAAGTTGCTTATCATTGCATAATAAGCAATGATAGGCCTCAGCTGGCACTGCCCAGCATGGCCTCGGCTAGCCACGGCTTCCAGACGGGGAAATGATCCTCCAGTAGAGACACATCCACATGCCACAAGCCCTTAGATAAGTCAGCCCCGGCCCAGATGGACTCTGGAATTGGTGTGTGCTGGACATTGGCCCTTCTGGGCACATGACAATTCAATCTGAATGGGCCACCCCAGTTTCTTTCTTTTTTTTCATAAACAGGGTTTTGCTATGTTGCCCAGGCTGCTCTCGAACTCCTGGCTTCAAGCAGTCCTCCTGCCTCAGCCTCCCAAAGTGCAGGCATCACAGGTGTGAGCCACTATGCCTGGCCAGTTTCTTTCTTTTTCTTCTTTTTTTTTTTTTCTGAGACCAAGTCTTACTCTGTTTCCCAGGCTGGAGTGCAGTGGTGTGATCTAGGCTCACCGCAACCTCCACTTCCCAGGTTCGAGTGATTCTCCTGTCTCAGCCTCCTGAGTAGCTGGGATTACGGGCACACGCTATCACGCCTGGCTAATTTTTGTATTTTTAGTAGAAATAGGGGTTCACCATGTTGGCCAAGTTGGTCTCGAACTCCTGACCTCAGGTGATCCACCTGCCTCGGCCTCCCAAAGTGCTGGGATTACAGGCATGAGCCACTGTGCCCTGCCAAAACAAGAACTAGGAATGCATTTTTCTCCACTTCATCACTGGCATCTGGAAAGCAGAGAATACTTCTCATTAAACTCCGCGAGTTCTCCACTAGCATGGTGCCTGGCGGCTACTAAGAACCAGAGTTAACTGTTCGATGAACGGCTGAATGAATCAATGCACAAGTCAGTGTGATTTGGGGAAGGGAAAATTGTACAGGATTCCCGACACTGCTGAGAGCCCCGCCAGGGCTGGTAGCCATGACTTTGTGGGTGCCACATTTGGTAATGTGTCTGTCTGCAACAGCGGCCTGGGTGGCAAGGAGGTTGTCAGATGGATAAGCTCATATGGTTGGGGTTCAGCAGGGCGGAAGTGAGGCAAAGAAAGCAGCTGAGAGAGCGATGAGAAATGAGGAAAGAGGACAGCTGGGCTGTGCAGGCAGACTGTGTCAGAAAGAGAAGGATGGGCCAGCCGCAGTGGCTCACACCTATAATCCCAGCACTTTGGGAGGCCGAGGCAGGTGGATCACTTGAGGCCAGGAGGTCTAGACCAGCCTGGGCAACATGATGAAACCTCGTCTCTACCAAAAATACAAAAATTAGCCAGGCATGGGGGCACAAGCCTGTAATCCCAGCTAGTGAGGAGGCGGAGGTAGGAGAATCACTTGAATCTGGGCGGCAGAGACAGCAGTGAGCCGAAATCGCACCACTGCATTCCAGCCTGGGTGACAGAGGGAGACTCTAAAAAAAAGAAAGAGAAGGGTGGGAAACCAGCAGGAAGTTGACAGACTAGAGCACTCTTGGGACCTGGGGCAGGACAAACCCGTGCAGAAGCAGACAGGCTGCAAGGAGGGAGGTGGAAGGGCAAACAGTAAGGTCAGAGAGAAGATGGACTGCAGGATTTCAGAGAGAGGCTTCCCGGAGGCAACAAATTCCAATGTACAGATACTGCCTATGCGAAGTGCTCAGAGCACACAAATAGCACAAGAGGTATCTAGAGAGCGACTGTGATTGTGACACTGTGCAGGGGACATCAACAATGTCCTGTGTGCCTCCAAGAGTGCAAGAGGGAGACAGACCTGGGGCTCCAATCCCAGCTGCTCTTGCACTTGCTCTGTGATTTTGAGCAAACTACTCAACCTCCCCAAGTTCATTTTCTTTCCCTTTTTTCCTTAGATCCTAAACATCAGGATGAGCTCCAGTTTACTCATCTCTAAAGTGAAGCTAATAATACCTCCTCATAGGATTACATAAGATTAAATTTAAAAGTTGATTACAATGGGAAACATGTTGTGCATAATATATACAATTTTTCCTTGTCAATTAAAAAAATATAAATTTAAAACTTTGATTATACAGTGCTTGGCCTATGCTATGCAATCAAAAAATCCCTACTCTTCCAATGCTAACGAGCCAAGACGAGGCCAGGTGCAGTGGCTCACACCTGTAATTCCAGCACTTTGGGAGGCCTAGGCAGGCGATCACAAGGTCAGGTGTTTTGAGACCAGCCTGGCCAACATGGTGAATGAAACCCCATCTCTAATAAAAAAAAAAAAAAAAAAAATTAGCTGGGTGTGGTGGTGTGTGCCTGTAATCCCAGCTATTCAGGAGGCTGAAGCACAAGAATTGTTGGAATCTCAGAGGAGGAGGTTGCAGTGATCCAAGATCCCGCCATTGCACTCCAGCATAGGCGACAGAGTGAGACTTTGTCTCAAAAAAAAAAAAAAAAAAAAAAAAAAAATCCAGGTGTGGTGGCACAGGCCCGTGGTCTCAGCTACAGGGAGGCTGAGGCAGGAAGATCACTTGAGCACAGGAGTTTGAGGCTGCAGTGAGCTGTGATGGCACCACTGCACTCCAGCCTGAGCGAAGAGGGAGACCACGTCTATAAAAAAGAAAAAAGTCCAGGTGAGCACTACGTGGACCCCCAGCCACCCAAAGCTCCCACTCACCAATGATCTTATCTGAAGCGTTACAAGCAAGGGCGAAGCGAGTGGTTTTAGAGTAGATTTCCATGGTTCTCCTCAAGGCTTGCTGGGCTCCGTCGGTCATGCTGAGAAGAAAAACAGGTTTGTAAGCGGGACCCAGGGCCCGTGCGACACAAACCGCTCCGTACACAAAAACCCAGGACAGAGACACACCCAACGTTCCAAATGAAGGTCTCATTGGAAGTATGCAGGCCACTGCTCTAATGCTAAAACCCGCAGGCCGCTCTCTCAAAGACTGTGCAAACAGCATTTAGTACCCGCAGCATCAGAACAGCCCTCAAGTGAAATTCACAAAAACCACCATCTAGAGTGGCTTGCCATCACACTCTCCAGCCCTTCATGACATCAAATCCAAGAGAAGAGTCATGACACCAGCTGCCTACTTTTCTTTCTTCCTTTTTTTCTTCAAAGAGACAGGTCCTTTTTTTATTTTAATTAATTAATTAATTTATTTAGATGGAGTCTCGCTCAGTCGATTTATTTATTTATTTATTTAGACGGAGTCTCGCTCTGTCACCCAAGCTGGAGTGCAGTGGTGCCATCTTGGCTCACTGCAAGCTCCGCCTCCCGGGTTCACGCCATTCTCCTGCCTCAGCCTCCCGAACAGCTGGGACTACCGGCAGCCACCACCACGCCCAGCTAATTTTTTTGTATTTTTAGAAGAGACGGGGTTTCACTGTGTTAGCCAGGATGGTCTCAATCTCCTGATCTTGTGATCCGCCCAAAGAGACAGGTTCTTGCTGTCACCCAGGCTGCAGTGCAATGGTGCGATCATAGCTCACTGTAGCCTCGAACTCCTGGGCTCAAGCCATCCTCCCATCTCAAGAGACTGATGCAGGAGGACCACTTGAGACCAGCCTAGGCAACATAGTGAGACCTCTATTTCTACAAAAAATTTTTAAAAAATACAAAAAAGCCTGTTTACCAGATTATCATAATGCAGAGCACTGCCTATAACATTAAAAGGAAAAACCAGGATATAAAAATTATATATATTATGATCTCAACTATGTAAACATTGATAGTGTATAAAAACAGAAGAAATGAAGCAAGCTATTAATGGCCGGGCATAGTGGCTCATGCCTGTAATCCCAGCACATTGGGAGGCCGAGGTGGGCAGATCTCTTGAAATCAGGAGTTCAAGACCAGCCTGGACAACATGGCAAAACTTCAACTCTACTAAAAATACAAAAAAAAAATTGTCTGGGCATGGTGGTGCGCATCTGTAGTCCCAGCTACTCGCAAGGCTGAGACAGGAGAATCACCTGAACCCAGGAGGCAGAGGTTGCAGTGAGCCGAGATCATGCCACTGCATTCCAGCCTGAGTAACAGAGTGAGACTCCAACTAAAATAAATAAAAACACAGCGAACTATTAATATATTCTAAATTTTCTTCAAAGAACATGAATTACTGCTGTATTAAAAAAAAATTTTTTTTTTTTTTTTTTTTGAGACAGAGTCTTGCTCTGTTGCCCAGGCTGGTGTGCATTGGCACCATCTCGGCTCACTGCAACCTCTGTCTCCTGGGTACAAGCGATTCTCCTGCCTCAGACTCCCTAGTACCTGGGATTACAGGCACCATTGCACTCTAGCCTGGGCACCACCACATCTGGCTAATTTTTTTTTTTTTTTTTTAACTTTATTTGATGTATTTGACGATCAGCGATTAGTTCTCATCCACATTGACTGTCTGTAGATTTTTGAAAGTGGTAACAGGTACATAGGTAACCAAAGTATAGAGCTTATTTGGTGAATCTTCATCCTCATTACGTTTTCTGGACAGCCGCACACGGATTCGGTATGGGACATTCCTTATTCCTTTGGCCCAGACAGCTTTGTTGAGCCTGGTGTCAATGCGCACATCTGGAGTTCCCATCTCCTTCATGGCAAATTTCCGAATCTCTTTGAGTGCCCGAGGGGCACGCTTCTTGAAGCCCACTCCATGGATGCGCTTGTGAATGTTGATGGTGTATTCTCGGGTCACCACCTCGTTGATGGCAGAACGGCCCTTTTTCTTCTCGCCACCCTTCTTTGCGGGAGCCATTCTGCCGGGTCCAAGCTGGAAAAGCCATCTGGCTAATTTTTATGTTTTTAGTAGAGACAGGGTTTCCGTGTTGGCCAGGTTGGTTTCGAACTCCTGACCTCAAGCAATCCGCCCACCTTAGCCTCCCAAAATGCTGGGATTACAGGCATGAGCCACCGTGCCTGGCCCTAAAAAAAATTTATTTCGCTGGGCACAGCACCTCATGCCTGCAATTCTAGCACTTTGGGAGGCCGAGACAGACAGATCACTTGAGGCCAGGAGTTTGAGACCAGCCTGGGTAACATAGTGAGACCCTGCCTCTAGGGGAAAAAAAAAAAAAAAAGCTGGTTGCAGTTGCACAAGCCTGTAGTCTCCGCTACTTGGGAGGCTGAGGTGGAGGATCATTAGAGCCGAGGAGTTCAAGGCTGCAGTGAGCTATGATTGTGCCATTGTACTCTAGCCTGAGCGACACAGTGAGACCCTGTCTCAGAAACAACAACAAAAAAACAACATTATAGGGTTAGGGTTCTATATTTTTTTTAATGTCATTTCAATTTTTTTTTTTTTTGAGATGAAGTTTCGCTCTTGTTGGCCAGGTTGCAGTGCAAATGGCGTAATCTCAGCTCACAGCAACCTCTGCCTCCTGGGTTCAAGCAATTCTCCTGCCTCAGCCTCCCAAGTAGCTGGGATTACAGGCGTGCGCCACCATACTAGCTAATTTTGTATTTTCAGTAGAGACGAAGTTTCTCCATGTTGGTGAGGCTGGTCTCAAACTCCTGACCTCAGGTGATCCACCTGCCTTGGCCTCCCAAAGTGCTGGGATTACAGGTGTGAGCCACCAAGCCCGGACTCAGATTCTTCATTTATACCAACCACAGTGTTGTGATGGTTGCACAACATTGCAAATGTACTAAATGCCACTGAATTAACCGTACATTTCAAAATAGTTAAAACGGTACATTTTATGTTATGGTTAATTATGTCCATTTAACCACAATAAAAAATTTTACAGGCTGGGCATGGTGGCTGACACCTGTAATCCCAGCATTTTGGGAGGCCGAGGCGGGTAGATCACCCGAGGTCAGCAGTTCGAGACCAGTCTGGCCAATGTGGCAAAACCCTGTCTCTACTAAAAATACAAAAATTAGGCCGGGCTCAGTGGCTCATGCCTGTAATCCCAGCACTCTGGGAGGCTGAGGCGGGCGGATCACGAGGTCAGGAGATTGAGACCATCCTGGCTAACACAGTGAAACCCCATCTCTACTAAAAATACAAAAAATCAGCTGGGCGTGATGGTGCGTGCCTGTAGTCTCAGCTACTTGGGAGGCTAAGGCAGGAGAGTCACTTGAACCCGGGAGGCAGAGGTTGCAGTGAGCTGAAATCATGCTACTGCACTCCAGCCTGGGTGACAGAGTGAGACTCTGTCTCAAAAAATAAATAAATAAATAAATACAAATACAAACACAAAAATTAGCTGGGCGTGGTGGCAGGTGCCGGTAGTCCCAGCTACTCGGGAGGCTGAGGCTGGGGAACTGCCTGAACCCGGGAGGCAGAGGTTGCAGTGAGCAGAGATTGTGCCACTGTACTCCAGCCTGGGTGACAGGGAGAAACTCCATCTCAAAACAAACAAACAAACAAAAACAAAAAACACTTCATTTAAATTATTAATGTAAGAGATGCTGAAACCAGCACATTACATGAATAACTATCTTAGACAAACGGTTGTAAGTTACTTAATAAAGAAAAGATTTAAGGTGCAGGCCCCTATTAAATTGCTTGTTGAAGATATAAGCAAATCTACCATAAAAGTGCTTTTTATCCCGATTGAATAAAGTCCAAAAAGAGATTTAGAGATCAAGGTCAAAATATATTTGGCAAAGCACTCTACCTGTCTGCTTCATCCAGAATGATGATCTTATGTCGGCCTTTAGGAAGAGTGACTTTTTGTTGAGCGAACATTTTAATTTTATTCCTCACAACATCAATGCCCCTGAAAGAATAACAAGATTTTACTGGCACTTTCTGAGACAAATTCAGTTGCCTTCACGAGGACTTTTTTTTTTGAGACAGAGTCTCGCTCAGTCGCCCAGGCTGGAGTGCAGGGGCCGGATCTCGGCTCACTGCAAGCTCCGCCTCCCGGGTTCACGCCATTCTCCTGCCTCAGCCTCCCGAGTAGCTGGGACTACAGGCGCCCACCACCTCGCCCGGCTAGTTTTTCTGTATTTTTTAGTAGAGACGGGGTTTCACCGTGTCAGCCAGGATGGTCTCGATCTCCTGACCTCGTGATCCGCCCACCTCGGCCTCCCAAAGTGCTAGGATTACAGGCTTGAGCCACCGCGCCCGGCCCATGAGGACTTTTAAACAATCGGTATATCAGGGACTGCAAGACCCGATTTCCATTTTTGAGTTTTTAGGGGGGCAATTATAACTATTTATAAGGATTGAGATTTTATGCATTTGTTCCTTCTTGGAGTTCTTTCAAAGAACAAAGAAAATATATACTTTTTTTTTTTTTTTAGACAGGGTCTCACTGTGTCATCCAGGCTTGAGTGTAGTGACCCTCTTGGCTCACTGCAACCTCTGCCTCCCAGGTTCGGTGAGCCGGGATCGCACCACTGCACCCCAGCCTGGTGATAATTCGAGACTCTGTCTCCAAAAAAAAAAAAAAATCCTCATCCTTCAGTTTTTTAACTGCATTGCTTGAGATACCGTATTATCTTTCAAAAGATGTAACAGAAATGCAAATACATCACCTTTGTTATCTTGTAAGCTTTCACTGACCACAGCCAAGAATTCAAAATTTTTCATTTCCCACCCACAACAGGAAAGAGAAAAAAATTGAGAGGACTCTTCCTAATTATTAGATGAATCAGAAAATAACTGCAATGTAGGCCAAGCATGGTGGCTCACACCTGTAATCCCAGCACTTTGGGAGGCCGAGGTAGGCGGACCACTTGAGGCTAGGAGTTTAAGATCAGCCTGGCCAACATGGTGAAATCCCATCTCTACTAAAAATACAAAAATTACCTGGGCGTGGCTGCACACTCCTGTACTCCCGGTTACTCGGGAGGCTGAGGCACGAGAATCGCTTGAACCCAGGAGGCAGAGGTTATGGTAAGTCGAGATCGTGCCACTGCACTCCAGCCTGGGTGACAGAGCGAGACTCTGTCTCAAAAAAAAAAAAAAAAAAAGGAAAGAAAGAAAAGAATTGAAAAGAAAAGAAAAGAACTGAGAACTGCAGAGACACCAATAGCGACATTCTAGACTCTGCTGATGGTGAAACTGATCATATAAGCAAAATCTCAGACTATGAATCTTCAGATGCCAATATCATCCACACATTTTCCCAAACTGAAGAATCAAAGACTGAACTCGGTGTTTCTGAGGACTGGTGCTAGGCCCCTCCTCAGACACCAAAATTCACTTATGCCCATGCCCCTTATATGAAATGGTAATTTGCATATTAACTTATACACATCCTCCAGTATGCTTTATTTTTACTTTTATACAGAGAGATATACAGAGATTTTTACTTTTATACAGAGAGATGGGGTTTCCTTTTTATTTTTATTTTTATTTTTTTTTGAGACAGAGTCTCACTCTGTTGCCCAAGCTGGAGTGCAGTGGCCGGATCTCAGCTCACTGCAAGCTCCGCTTCCCGGGTTTACGCCATTCTCCTGCCTCAGCCTCCCAAGTAGCTGGGACTACAGGCGCCTGCCACCTCGCCCGGCTAGTTTTTTGTATTTTTTAGTGGAGACGGGGTTTCACCATGTTAGCCAGGATGGTCTCGGCCTCCCAAAGTGCTGGGATTACAGGCTTGAGCCACCGTGCCTGGCCGAGATGGGGTTTCATTATGTCACCTGGTCTTAAACTCCTGGACTCAAGCAATCCACCTGCCTCAACCTCCCAAAGTGCTGGGATTATAGGCGTGAACCACCATGCCTGGCCAGCCTTACATATACTTTAAATATACAGGCTGAGTATCCCTTATCCCTAATGCTTGGGACCAGAAATGTTTCAGATCTGGGTTTTTTTTTCACATTTTGGAATTTTGCATTATATTTACTGGTTGAACATCCCAGTGTAGTGGCTCAGGTCTGTAATCCAAGCACTTCAGGAGGCTGAAGCAAGGAGGATCGCTTGAGTCCCGGACTTCGAGACCGGCCTGGACAACATAGTGAGACCCATCTACACAAAAAAAAGCTGGTGCGGTGGCATGTGTCTACGGTCCTAGCAACTTAGCAGGCTGAGGCAGGAGGATTGCTCAAGGCTAAGGGTTTGAGATCAGCCTGGGCAACATAGTAACATTCCATCTCTACAAAAATTTTAAACTTGAAAAAAAGAGAAAAACTGGTTTTTTGTGTTTTTTGTTTTTGAGATGGAATTTTGCTCATCACCCAGGCTGGAGTGACCAATGGCTTGATCTCCGCTCACTGCAACTTCCTTCTCCCAGGTTCAAGTGATTCTCCTGCCTCAACCTCCTGAGTAGCTGGGATTACAGGCGCCCGGCACCACACCCAGCTAATTTTTGCATTTTTAGTAGAGATGGGGTTTCACCATGTTGGCTAGGATGGTCTCAAATTCCTGACCTCAGGTGATCCACCCGCCTCGGTCTTCCAAAGTGCTGGGATTATAGGCGTGAGCCACCGTGCCCAGCTGATAAAAAGTTTTTAAAAATTTCCATGAAAAAAAAATAATAAACCAGCAAGTTGACAAGTGAGTAATGCTCTTTCACTGGGAAGGGGTGGAGGAAATCACATAGCTGGCAAGGCTAACTTCGAATACAACCCAATGCTGAGAAAGGCTGTTTCTGTAACAATTCTCAGTGCAGAGCACACCCCCCTGCAGGTCTGACTCTAAGACCTACCTGTCGTTTGAAGCATTGAGTTCCAACACGGCATCTTTGAGTGCTGGGCCCAGCAGGGCCCGGGCCAAGCACAGAATGCTTGTGGTCTTGCCAGTTCCTGGAGGGCCCTGGGAACGAGATCTCCAGTAAAGACTACAAACCACCAGAAGGACCGCAGATAGCTCCTGAGTTCTGCTCACCGCTGTATGCACCTCCATCCCCTCTGACCCCCGCATCCCACACACAGCACACACAGATCAACACAGCTGACCGGACGCAGTGGCTCACACCTGTAATCCCAGCACTTTGGGAGGCCGAGGAGGGCAGATCATCTGAGGTCAGGAGTTCGAGACCAACCTGGCCAACATAGCGAAACCCCGTCTCTAACTAAAAATACAAAAAAATTTGCCAGGCGTGGTGGCAGGTACCTGTAATCCCAGCAACTCGGGAGGCTGAGGTGGGAGAATCGCTTGAACCCGGGAGGGAGAGGTTGCCATGAGCAGAGATTGCACCACTGCACTCCAGCCTGGGTGACAGAGTGAGACTCTGTCTCAGGGAAAAAATTAAAAAAAAAAAAAAAAATACAGCAACCAACCCCAGGCCTCCCAACTAACTTGAACGAAATGCTTCCCTTTGCCATGGGAATGGTAAGGGGTTCTCCAGGCAGGGAGCGCTATGCACAAAAAAGTACTTCGGTGCGCAGTGGGATGAGACACTGAGACACCCAACAGGCCCAGGACTGGGTACTCACCGCAATGATGATGTTGGGCACATTCCCTTCCCTTGCAAAGACCTACAGCGAAAATGATCATTAAAACTGGTTAAAACTTGATTCTGGATGACTAGATTAAAAAGATAGAAAAAAGAACAAACAAGCAGGTTAAAACTCGGCTGAGCACAGTGGCTCACGCCTGTAATCCTAGCACTTTGGGAGGCCAAGGCAGGACAATCACTTGAGGCCTGGCTTTAGAGGCCAGGCTGGGCAACATAGTGAGACTCTGTCTCCTCAAAAAATAAACAAAATTAGCCAGGTGTGGTGGCGTGCGCCTGTACTCCCAGCTACTCGGGAGGCTGAAATGGGAGGATCAGTTGAGCCTGAGAAGTGGAGGCTGCAGTGAGCTGTGATCGTGCCACTGCACTCCAGCCTGGGCAACAGTGGGACCCTGTCTCAAAAAGAAAAAAAACCACAAAACCTGGTTAATTTGTAGGCTTGAGGAGCTGAATCTCCCCAGCCACACAGCCCGTGTAGTAAACGTGGCTACAAATTTATCCACGTGGATGCCCCATCCACCTCAAGTTCTTTTTATTCTTTTAGAGATGCAGTCTGGCTCTGTCACCCAGCCTGGAGTGCAGTGGTGTGATCAAGGCTCACTGCAGTCTTGAATCCCCAGGCTCAAGCGATCCTCCTGCTTTGGCTTCCCGAGTAGCTGGGACTACAGGAACTCACCTGGGCATCTTCAAAACTGAACACTTCATTCTCCTGTACAAACCTGAGGCCCCACCCATGTTTCCTACCAGGGACTATCCATGCCACGAAGCTGAGGTCGCCATCATCTTGGTTTGGCCTCATCCTCACCCCGGGTACTTCAATTACCAGGGCTTCACCAACCTCCTCTTCGTCTCCAGTGTCCTTTACTTCTCTCCATCCCTGCTACCACTTTCTCATTATCTTGTCTGATTGCTATCAATGGGCCATTAAGTGATCTCCATGCTCCCATTCAAATCCATTTCCCATCCTGTAACCACAACTGCTTTCCTAAAGTACACACTTATTAAAACTGTTTTTTTCTTTCTTTTTTTTTTTTTTTGAGATGGAGTTTCACTTTGTCACCAAGGCTGGAGTGCAGTGGCGCGATCTTGGCTCACTGCAAGCTCCGCCTCCCAGGTTCACACCATTCTCCTGCTTCGGCCTTCCAAGTAGCTGGGACCACAGGCGCCCGCCACCAGGCTGTCTAATTTTTTGTATTTTTAGTAGAGATGGGGTTTCACCATGTTAGCCAGGATGGTCTCAATCTCCTGACCTCGTGATCTGCCCGCCTTGGCCTCCCAAAGTGCTGGGATTACAGGCATAAGACACCGCGCCTGGCCTCTTTTTTTTTTTTTTTTTTAGATGGAGTTTTGCTCTTGTTGTCCAGGCTGGAGTGCAATGGCGCGATCTTGGCTCACTGCAAGCTCTGCCTCCCGGGTTCAAGCGATTCTCCTGCCTCAGCCTCCAGAGTAGCTGGGTTTACAGGCACCCACCACCAGGCCTGCCTAACTTTTTGTATTCTTAGTAGAGACAGGGTTTCGCCATGTTGGCCAGGCTGGTCGTGAACTCCTGACCTCAGGTGATCCAATCACCTTGGCCTCCCAAAGTGCTGGGATTACAGGTGTGAGCCACCGCACCTGGCCCTATTAAAACATTTTTACCTAACTGAAATCCTTGACTCCTCCCTGCCCTCACTATGAAGCCCAAACTCTTTTTGTTTCTGAAAGTAAGGGTCTCACTCTGTCACCTAGGCTAGAGTGCAGTGGCCTGATCACAGCTCACTGCAGCGTCAAACTCCTGGGCTCAAGAGATCCTCCTGCCTTGGCCTCTTGAGTAACTGGGATTATAGGCACTTGGAACCGCGCCCAGTTTGAACTTCAGACTCTACAGGCACACGCCACCACACTCAGCTCATTTTTAAATTTTTTCGTAGAGACCAGTTTCACCATGTTGCCCAGGTTGATCTCAAACACCTGGCCTCAAGTGATCCGCCCGCCTCAGCCTCCCAAAGTGCTGGGATTACAGGTGTGAGTGCCTGGCCTTAGGTCATCTTTTAAAAAGCTACTCAAGGCCGCTTGTGGTGGCTCATGCCTATAATCCTAGCACTTTGGGAGGCTGAGGTGGGCAAATCATGAGATCAGGAGTTCGAGACCAGCCTGGCCAACATGGTGAAACCCCGTCTCTACTAAAAATACAAAAATTAGCCGAGCGTGGTGGCGCGTGCCTGTAATCCCAGCTACTGGGGAGGCTGAGGCAGGAGAATAGCTTGAACCCAGGAGGCAGAGCTTGCAGTGAGCCGAGATCGCGCCATTGCACTCCAGCCTAGGCGACAGAGCAAGACTCCGTCTCAAAAAAAAACAAAAAACAAAATACAGCCACTCACCTCTAGCCTGCTCACAGTGTCTTCATTCCCGACAATTTCATTCAGCTTTACTGGCCTATATTTTTCAACCCTGTTAAGAAAATGCATAAAAATGCTGACATGGTTGTCTTCACACTATCCCACAAAAAGCACTTAAGGGTCATCCTGAGAGCTTTGTTGGAAAATTACATATATTCAGTATACCTATGCCAAACAGTTGCAGGTTTTAAATGTAATAAGGTGCCAGCCGGGCACGGTAGCTCACGCCTGTAATCCTAGCACTTTGGGAGGCTGAGGTGGGTGGATCACTTGAGGTCAGGAGTTTGAGACCAGCCTGGCCAACATGGTGAAACCCCATCTCTACTAAAAATACAAAAATTAGTCGGATGTGGTAGTGTGCGTCTGTAATCCCAGTTATTTGGGAGGCTGAGGCATGAGAATAGCTCGAACTCGGGAGGCAGAAGTTGCAGTGAGCTGAGATTGCGCCACTACACTCCAGCCCGGGCTACAGAGTGAGACTCTGTTTCATAAATAAATAAATAAAATGTAATTTAGATGCCCAAGTGCCACTTGAAAAGTTAAGGGCATGAGAATTGTACAGCAAAGGTTTCAAACCTGCTATAGCAGAGAAACACCTGTTGTTGCTGGAGCAGGGCCAGCACAGGCCATCTGGAGCAACGTGACACTGCTGCAACCCTGTCTGCCCGTCACAAGAGGCCCAGCACACACAAGGCTGACATCATTTGGTGTGACAACATGGGTGCAGCCAAGCTCCTTTCTCATCCCTTACCTGCCAGTTTCTTTTTTTTTTTTTTTTTGAGACAGAGTTTCGCTCTTGTGCAATGGCACGATCTTGGCTCACTGCAACCTTCACCTCTCGGGTTCAAGCGATTCTAATGCCTCAGCCTCCGGAGTAGCTGGGATTACAGGCATGCGCCACCAGGCCCAGAGAATTTTGTATTTTTAGTAGAGATGGAGTTTCTCCATGTTGGTCAGGCTGGTCTCAAACTCCCGACCTCGGGTGGTCCGCCCACCTCAGCCTCCCAAAATGCTGGGATTTACAGGTGTGAGCCACCGTGCCCGGCAAGGATTACCTGCCAGTTTCTGCAAACATGTGCCAAATATAGATGGCTGGCTAGACAAAAACCGTAGATCTAGGCTGGGCGCGGTGGCTCATGCCTGTAATCCCAGTATTTGGGAGGGCGAGGCGGATGGATCACTTGAGATCAGGACTTCGAGACCAGCCTGGCCAACATGGTGAAACCCAGTCTCTACTAAAAATACAAAATTAGCAGGGTGTGGTAGTACACGCCTGTAATCCCAGCTACTAGAAAGGCTGAGGCAGGAGAATTGATTGAATCCGGGAGACGTAGGTTGCAGCGAGCCAAGATCACACCACTGCACTCCAGCCTATGTGACAAAGTGTTACTCCATCTCAAAAAACAAAAAAATTAGCTGGGCATGGTGTTGCATGCCTGTAGTCCCATCTACTTGGGAGGCTGAGGCAGGAGGATCACTTGAGCCAAGGAGTTGGACACCAGCCTAGGCAACACAGCAAAACCCCCGTCTCGATTTAAAAAAAAAAAATTTCAAATGTAAATGTTATTGAACCTAACAGTCAAAATATTATTTTGAACAGGTAATCAATTTTTTTTAAAAGACTGAGGTTTTTAAAAACACGAGGTCATACACTACTATCCACAAAAACTTTTGAAAAAAACAACTAGGTCAGAGTAGGTGGCCACCCGGGATAGCCCTAACTGTCATAAGCGTTGTTGTGAGCGAGACTCCGCTCGCAGAGTTTAGGCCGGCCACTCTCGGTCCATGTCCCTCGCCTCCTTGAAATCATCTCGATGCCACCCGGGGTCTCCTCTTCCCTCGGGATCCCCCAAATCGAGCCCCTGCCCCCCGAGTTTCTCCAGAGCACGGGCCGCCACTCGCCCACCCTCACATCCAAATGCGCCCATTCTTTACGGCCTGGGACCTCACCACGGCAGCTCGTAGTGGCCAGCGCTGCCGGGGGCCTTGCTGGAGGAAGGGGCAGGGTCCTGGGCCTCCAGCTCGCCCTCACCACCAGAGACGGCCTCCACCTCCATTCTCGCGCCTCCTCTTCCCGCCACCCGAGGCCCCGCCCCGTGACGCCGCCACACAAGCCCCGCCCCCTGGCTTCCGCCGGGCGCGAGCGGAAGTCACGTACCCGCGCCTCTCCGCGCCGGCGAAGAGGGTTCCGGTGGTGCCCGGGCGGTTGTCGCTAGAGGCCGCGGTTGCTAAGGGAGAGCTGGCGTCCGGCCTGGGAGCTACAGGAAGGCGAGCTCTGGCCGCGACGCCTTCAGAGAAAGCAGGTCGCTCTCGGAACGGGCGTTTGTGTGTAGTTTCTGTGGAAGATCCGCTCCGCGGTGGCGTGGGAGGAGCAGGGCCTGGGGGCGTTGCGGCCAAACGCCGACTTCGGTGCTGGGACGCGGACAGCGCTCGCGTCCGGGCGCTGCTGGGCAGCGGGGTCCGGGGATGACGTCTGGGGCTGCCCGTGTCCACTTTTCCAGATTGTTCTGAATGTCCCAGTGAGCTGCTCCCGTTGGGTGGGCTCTTGCGCCTGAACCGCGTTCGGCACTCGGCGTTTATTATCAGGGAATTCTCGGTTGCAAGATGGGAATTCCACCCCCAGCCCATTTTGCAGAGGAAACTGAAACTGTCCTTTTGTCAGATGAAATGCAATGTTCGTTCCAGGAAAATAGGGACTCAAGGCCGGGTGCGGTGGCTCACCCCTCTAATCCTCGCAGTTTGGGGGACAGAGACCAGAAGAGCGATTAAGCCCAGGAGTTTGAGACCAGCCTGAGCAACATAATGAGACCCCGTCTCCACAAAAATAAAAATAAAAAAAATAACTGGGCGTGGTGGCGCGCACCTGCAGTTCCAGGTACTCGGGAGGCTGAGGCAGAGGAGTGCTTGAACCCAGGAGGTGCGGGCTGCAGTGAGCTCTCATCACACCACTGCACTCCAACCTGGTCTGCAGCAAGACCCTGTCTCAAAAAAAGAAAAGAAAAATAAATACTTCAACCTTGTAAGGGTTTTGAGCATTTTTGTGGGCTGTTTTTCTACCTAGTCTTTTCTCCCATAGCCCAAAATGTCATAATAATCAATAATGATGATCCCAGAACGTTGGGAGGCTGAGGTGGGAGGATCCCTGGAGCCCAGGAGTTTGAGACCAGCCTGGGCAATATGAGACCCCATCTCTACAAAAAATTTTTTAAAAATGATCCACTTGTGATACGTGATAGTAGTCCCAGCTACTTGAGAGGCTGAGGCAGGAGAATGGGTTGAGCCTATGAGGTCGAAGCTACAGTGAACCCTGATACAGTCAGTGCACTCCAGCCCCCCGGGACACAGGGAAATCCTGTTTCTAAAAAAATAAGGAAAGAAAATAGGTACTTCAGATTCACAAGTGCTTTGATCATTCTGTTTTGTTTTTGTTTTGTTTTGGAGATGGGGTCTCACTCTGTCACCCAGACTGGAGTACAGTGGTGTGATCTCAGCTCACTGCAATGTCCAGCTCCCGGGTTCGAGGGATTCTCCTGCCTCAACCTCCTGAGTAGCTGGGACTACAGGGGTGTGCCACCACACCTGGCTAATATTTGTATTTTCAGTAGAGATGGGGTTTCGCCACGTTAACCAGGCTGGTCTCAAACTCCTGACTTCAAGTGATCCGCTTGCCTCAGCCTCCCAAAGTGCTGGGATTACAGGTGTAAGCCACCGCCCCTGGCCAAGCAGTTTGTTTTAATGATAGTATTAAAGTATACAGATTCAGAACTTACACAGTGTTTTTCTTTCCATGTAATTTGGAAAAAATGCTTGAATTGGCCATCTTTCCCCTATTCCCCCTTTAAACTGATGGAGCCGTCTTGTCTGTTTTTTCAATCATTATTCACAGGTCTTTCATTTTTCCGGAGGAGAAAATACACACTCCTCTTGAAATATAAACTTTTCTTCAAATGTCTCTGTGGTTTTTCCATAGAACTGTTCCTGTGTGGTAATCTTCATGTTTTCCTTGTAATCACTATCACACACATCCTTCCCATCACATAACACAGTTTAGAACCTAAACTAATTTTTAATAAAGGCAGAACACGATTCCTTTCATGGTTCTCCAAAAACCCCCACTCTACAAGAGGCCTTTTGGTGCTGCCAGGGCTATCCTCTAACTGATGTGCTTGAAATGCCAGGAGAACCAGAGACGGAGGTGATTCTTAGGGCAAAGCTGCACTGTCAGGACATTTTTCTTTTTTTTAGACTGAGCCTTTTGTGACCCATTGGACTTGGGCCCAAATGGAGCTCAGAGCTTAAAAACTCCAACTGCGTCCCTGGGACTGAAAAACAGCAATGTTGGGGAACCAGGGAGTGCTGGGGAAACCACAGGCTGTTGTGAAAGGGCAGAGAGTAGCCACAGAGAATTCCTCCCAGCAAATCCATGAAATCTCAGGAAATTAAATACACACTGAGGCTAAGCTCCCAGACTGTCATCACAAGAGGGCAAGGCAGTTATACACCAAGAGGAAGCATGTAGAAAGAAAATAAAATTGAAACCAAAATCCTCTTTTCCCCAAATCCAGAGGCTTCCAATCAAATTGTCAGAGAGGTCAGGCAACACATCTTGGTTTGAATGACGCCTTGACTTTCACCGTTAGCTCACTTCCTGAGTTATGTTGCAGGATGTGAGGCTGAAAATCTGCTGGCGTGCCAAGATCAGGACTACAAGATAGCCCGGTTTTCTCCCTGCCCATTCCAGCCTCCATTGGCCCAGAATGTCATACACACTTGATGCTGTTTGCCTTGTTTACATTGAATTTTAAAAGTTAAAAAATGTTAAAATCTTAGGCTGGGCCTGGTGGCTCATGCCTGTAATCTCAGCACTTTGGGAGGCCCAGGCGGAAAGATTCCTTGAGAATAGGCATTTGAGCCCAGCCTGGGCAATGTAGCAAGATTCCCATCTCTATAAAAAACAAAAATTAGGCTGGGTGGGTGGCTCACGCCTGTAATCCCAGCACTTCGGTGGGCCGAGGCGGGCGGATCAGAAGGTCAGCAGTTCGAGACCAGCCTGGCCAACATGGTGAAACCCCATCTGTACTAGAAATACAAAAATTAGCTGGGCAACAAGAGCGAAACGCCATCTAAAAAAAGAAAAGAAAATGTATTTGTTTTCAAGTGAATTTCTTTGTGATTTTAAGCTATTTTTTGTTTTCATTTTTATTTTTATTTATTTATTTATTTTGAGATGGAGTTTCGATCTTATTGCCCAGGCTGGAGTACAATGGCATGATCTCAGCTCACTGCAACTTCTGCCTCCCAGGCTCAAGCAATTCTTCTGGCTCAGCCTCCTGAGTAGCTGGGATTACAGGCATGCACCACCACACCCTAATTTTGTATTTTTAGTAGAGACGGTGTTTCACCATGTTGGTCGGGCTGGTCTCAAACTCCCGACCTCAGGTGATCCGTCCACCACAGCCTCCCAAAGTGCTGGGATTACAGGTGTGAGCCACCGCGCCCAGCCTTTATTTATTTTTTGAGATAGGGTCTCATTCTGTCACCCAGGCTGGAGCACAGTGGCATGATCTTGGCTCACTGCAACTTTTGCCTCCTGGGTTCAATAGATTTTCCTGCCTCAGCCTCCGGAGTAGCTGGGATTACCGGGGCACGCCACTACGCCCAGCTAATTTTTGTATTTTTAGTACAGATGGGATTTCACCATGTTAGCCAGGCTGGTCTCGAACTCCTGGCCTCAAGTGATCCACCCACCTCTGCCTCCCATAGTGTTGGGATTACAGGCGTGAGCCATTGTGCCTGACAATTTTTGTTTTTAAACGGTGATGCTATCATTTAAATAATTGTTTCCTCTCAGGCACTGCGGTGTTCCATCCATTTATAGTTTTGTTTTTTTTTGTCAGTAGAGACGGGGTTTCACCATGTTAGCCAGGATAGTCTCGATCTCCTGACCTCGTGATCTGCCCGCCTTGGCCTCCCAAAGTGCTGGGATTGCAGGCGTGAGCCACTGCACCCAGCCCCATTTATGGTTTTTCTAACATTTTCATTAGCATTTTTAAAATTAGGTGCCCTGCTCATCTTCTCTGTGTTGTTCCAGTTTTAGTCTATGCACTGCCAAAGCGAGCTACTTTGTAGCATTTTCAAGATTGAGAGGCACAGTGTGTACCGAAAAAAACATTTCCTAGACGTATCTACTGTATAAGGATGTCTCATGTGGGTAAAATTTGTCCCCGGGTATTGCTCTGATTAGATTTATGGAATTTGGAAGCTGGTTAGAAATTATGTAACCAGCACATTTTATGCCTTTAACAAATATTGACCGCGTGCCTAGAGCCACTTCGAGGGGCACAGGAGCTTCCATTGTAGGGAGGGAAACCGACAGCAAGTGGCCAATGTTATATTTATTTCAATGTAATTATGGACTGGGCCCGGTGGCTCACGCCTGTAATCCCAGCACTTTGGGAGGCCGAGGCGGCCGGATCACCTGAGGTCAGGAGTTCAAGACCAGCCCGACCAACATGGAGAAACCCCGTCTGAATTACAAACACAAAATTAGCAGGGCATGGTGGTGCATACCTGTAATCCCAGCTACTTGGGAGGCTGAGGCAGGAGAATCAGTTGAACCTGGGAGGCGGAGGTTGCAGTGAGCTGAGATTGTGCCACTGCACTCCAGCCTGGGCGATGAGAACAAAACTCCATCTCACAAATAAAATAAATAAAAACATAATTATGATCAGTGTCAGAAAAGGGACTGGTGGGTTGTTAGGATATCAGCAATAGGCTAACACCTCGCTTGGGAGGTCAGGAAGGGCTTTGATGGGGAGGTGCGTTTGGCCTGAGATGTAAATCCCCAATCTGAGATTTGAATGCCTATTGGCTTTGCCTGGAAGGACCACCTAATACCCTGCCCTGCCTCCCATTGCTCCGTACACTAACACCATGTTTCTTTCTCTCTCTCTCTCTCTTTTTTTTTTTTTTTTTTTTTTTTTGAGTTGGTATTTTTGTGTTGCCCAGGCTGGAGTGCAGTGGCATGATCATAGCTCACTGCAGCCTTGACCTCCTGGGCTCAAGTAATCCTCCCACCTCAGCCTCCCAACTAGCTGGAACTACAGGCACATGGCACCATGCCTAGC